GAGAATAAATGAAATACCATTTGAAAACCCATGATGTACGTTTTGCCCTTTCAACTCATATCGCCTTCGTCCTCCCTGCCGCGGACTACGGCCATATGCTCGTGACAAACGAGTCGACATATGGGTAGTCGGCGGCCATGCCCATGATGACGCTGAACTCGTCGCGGAGCAGATCCGAGCCCTCGTTGGCATAGGCAGGGAACCGGCTGAGCTCGTGCCGCCGCAGCGCGACATTCCATGGGAAGCTGGAGTGGGCCACGCCCATGAAGGCGCTCGCCTTGAACATGACCAGAAAGTCCACCAGAGCCTGCTGGTCAAAGGTCATGGCGGCCAGGCGGCGCCGGTCGCTGTCCGAGAGCAGGTCTTGCTTGGTCACGACGCTGACGCTGCGCACGCGCGCGGCCGGATCGGCGGCGATGCGCTTTTCGAGATACGCGGCAAACAGCTGCACGACGGTCTGGTTGCCCGAGGCGACGTAGACGGTTTGCAGGCCGGTCCGCTGTATGTTGCGGTACTGCTCGTCGAACTGGTCGCGCATGCGCGAGAAGCGCCACTGGTCCGGCGGCCAGGCCCAGATGGCGTCCGACTCGAGCCGCAGGTGCGCGCCGTAGTAGGCGCCCGTGTTGATGGCGACGGCCGGGTCGATGGGCAGCGCGAAGCGCGTGCGCAGGGCGTACAGCACCTGGGCGGCCAGCGCGCGCGTGTCGTTGCGAAAGGACAGGATCTTGCCAAACTCGTGGACAAAGGCGTCGCCGTCGTCGCGCACGGGGTACTCGAGGAAGGACTGCTGCATCTGGATGTGCACCGGGCGGTCGGCGCGCAGCTGGATGTGCTGGCCGGCGAGCCAGGCGTCAAAGTCGTGGCGCCACGCACGCGGGTGGCGGAGTCCCGTGCGCGGGTGGTCGGGCTCGAACTGGTCGCCCAGCAGCGGCAGCGGCGGTCCCTGGCGCTGGCTGGTGTAGTACGGCACGTCGTCGACGCGGTCGTAGAGGCGCATCTGGGGGCAGCCCGCCGTGAGATGCTTCTTGAAGGTGGCGCGCTCCAGCAGGTAGTCGAGCGGCAGCTCGGTGGCGGTCTCAATGTCCTTGAGGTCGTTCTTGTTGCGCACGGCCATGGATGGGACGACGAGCGCGCCGCCGCCGTGGATGGCGTAGCGGATGCACTTGAGCATCTGGTTGCGCAGCATGCCGATGCCGCCATGCTGGCCCTCGCAGGTGAAGACCAGCCCAGGCCGGAAGGGCGTCCGGGAGCAGACCTCTTGGATGGGCCCGTAGTCGATGGGCGCTGGGAACTCGACGGCCATGGCCTGCCGGACGAAAGCGGCCTCGCTGAGGGGATTGAGTGGTGATGTCGGCGAGACGGACCCCGAGAGGACAGCGAGGACGGCATCACGGAAGCCAAAGAGACGGAAACTCCAGGCGAAGAAGAAAGCAAGGGTCAGGGGAATGATGATCGCCAAGCGTTCTCGTACGTCCTTGGCAATCATTGTGGGGGAGGGCAGCTGTGGTGAGAGGAGGTGAAGACAATGGAGAGTGGGAGAATGAGAGAGAGGGAGAGTCGGCTAGGAGCCGGACAGTAGAGAGAAGAAAGGCGAGGACCAGCGCAAAGAGAGGAGCGAAATGTAAGTTCAGAGGAAGAGAAACAAAGAGTCAACGCAGAGCCGAGGTGAATGGGTGTGGTCATGAAGACAGACCTGGGCAAGAGGAAGAGGGAAGACGGAAGAAGGAAGAAAAGAAAACAACGGTGATGGGCAGCAAGTCAATTGCTGCTCCATGTCATGCTGGTCAAAGCGACAAGATTAGACGAAAGAACGGAAAGAGAGACGACAGCCGAGAAACACAAACATGATAAAAATTAAGCATTCTAGGAGAAAAGCGATCGAGAGCATCGAATGGAAGAGGCTGCGAATGGACCTGGAGACGAAAGGAAGGACGTGCCGTGGTCTTGGCGGCCGTGTTAGTGGACCTGGCGGGTCGCCCAAAGTCAATAGCCCCCGTTTCAGCATTGTTTCAATGGAGTAGGGACGTAACGCTCGCACGCCCATCTTTAAGCTTACGGTAACTGTGACAGAGGGTCCAATGTGTTGGAGCAAAACATAAACCACCATTTGACTGTGCACACGGTGCAATTGGCGAAAATGGGAAGGGGAGGAACGGAATCCTTTTCTTTTCTTTTCTTTTTCTTTTTTTTTTTTTTTTTTTTTTTTTTTTTTCGTTGTGCTCCCTGGGTTGCACTCGCCTCAGATCACGTCTACCTCTGCTTTGTCAATACCGCCGTGCTCTCACACTACTTGTTCCTCTTCGTCGTAGTGTATTCTATTTCCTCTCAATGGTTCTGCTTGCCGACATCGACGTCTCCATCCCGCTTCAGAACGGCACCATTGCGCGACCACCGCTTCGACGCCGTCTTTGCTGTCGTCGCTGTCGTCGCAGTGCGTGTCTGCGTCTGCGCCAGAACACGCGGCGACAGCGACACAGCCTTGCCGTTGGCGTCGACGGTGAACAGAAACTCGTCGAGCGCCACGCCGCCGTACACCAGCTGCGACACCACTTCCCAGGCGATGCACTTAGCCGAAAAGGGGCCGGCGTCGAGCGGTGCGGGCAGGACTTGGAACGTGGCGCGCCATCCAACCTCTGTCTCGTTTTTGTTGCTCTTGCAGCTGCTGTTCGCCGAGGCCCGCGTCAGGCCGCTCGGGTACAGGTTCATGACGACCTTTTGCGACAGCGACGCGTTGGTACCCTCGAGCTGCCCCAGCAGATCCAGCACAGAAAGCCCACCGTACATCCATTCCGTCACGGCCAGGCCGGGCTCGCTGCCGTCGGCGACGACCGTGAAGCTCGAATTGGTGGCCGTGTCAGCGTATTGGCCGGCGTAGTTGGCGGCGGCCTCGGCCCGCGCAGCAGCGCGGATCCGGGGAACCCAGGTGCTGGCCAGAATGTCCGACACGATGCGCACGGTGTTGGTGGTGTCGGTGCCGGCGCTCAGCACGTTGAAGCCCAGCCCCAGCTCCGGCAGCAGCGCGACCATGGACGAGTAGAGGCCCAGGTCGCCGGCCTTGGTGTACATCCAGCTGACGGGCGCGCCGGGGCTGTCGGGCGCGCGCATAATCTCCCAGGGCGCACCGACGGCGGCGTTGGGATCGGCGAGGAACGAGTGTGGCTTGAGCCAGCGCCGGGTCTGCACGGGCGACAGCTGCGCCGACCGGAGCATGGCCGTGCCCACTTTGCGCATGTCGTCCAGTGTGCTGTAAAACCCACCGGCCACGGTCTCGTCGCGGGCGTCGGCGTTCCACCAGCTGTACGTGGCGTTGTACGGGATCATGGCATGGCCGGTGACGTCCTCTGGCGGCACGGTGTAGTAGGTGCCGGTGAGGTTGAGCGGCTGCACGAGATGCTTGTCGAAGAGGTCCGGCATCGACGAGCCGGTCATGTTCTCGAGGGCGTATCCCAGAATCTGGAAGGCGGCGTTGGAATAGGCCGGCGACACGTACGACGCGAAGATGGGCCGCTGCTGGGGGAAGTCCTCGAAAAAGGCCGTGCGGTTGCACGGAATCATGAGCCGGTCGTCCCCGCACGTCGACTGGTTGAAGCCACCCGCGTTGTACAAGCCAGCCGAGCCAAGAAGCGCCTGGAGCTGGGGGCTGTAGGCGGCATCGCGGGCAATGCCGCCCAGTTGGCTGGCCAGAGATCCGACAGTAACAGACGACCAGTCGACGTGGTCCAGCGAGTCGGTCGTGTCGCCGTCAGCCGCCACCAAGGCCGCGAGCTCCGGAACATAGTCTGTAATAGGGTCGCTCCACGAGCGGTCACCGGCCGCAATCAAGAACACGTAGATGGTCCACAGCTTCGACACACTGCCCAGACGGAAGACCGTATCGGTGGCAATGTCGGTCACGCCCACGGTGTGTGCAGCCACCAGTCCGGGCGGGTTGTAGCTGAAGGTGAACAGCGGCTCGCCCGATGCCACTGAATAGACCTGGGCAGAAAAGGCTGTCGTGTTGGACTCATACTGGCCGTATGGGAGGAGCCCGTTGGATGCGGCGAGGAACTGCAGCTCGGTGCTGTTGATGGCGTCCTTGACGTAGCTGCTGCCCACGGTTTCCAGTTGGGACGGCACTGGCTGGCCGACGTTGAGCAGAGGACACGGCGTGCGGGTCAATGCAGCATAGGCTGACGGAGCTAGGGCAGCCAAGCTCGCGATTGAGGCGAGCGATAGCATGGCGAGAACGGAGATGAAGGAAGGCGTATACAAGAAAATGGACGGGAAGAACGTGGTGAAAAGGGGGTGATTTGCAAACAAAGCGAGGCTGTTCAGATGAGATGGGCAATCGAAACAATGGATGTGATTCTAGGAAGAAAAAACGCTCTTTATATGCAAGGCTGACGAGACCCCGACTCAAGAGAGGACAATAACGGACTGGATTTCACGTAATAAAGACAACAAAGGAGCACTATACACATCCTAGTTAAAGCCAATAAAATGGACAAGGAACAACACAAGCAAGCCAACGACTAGTGGTGGACAACATTGCGACGATCGCGGCCGTGTGATCCCATGATGTCAACACACAGCCCTGCCGGGCACCGGGCTGGCGTCTCCTTAATTTAGCAGCCACGGCCCCACAACGCGAGCGGGCCAACGGCAGTCGCGGTTTGCAATGCTCCTGAGGCTCAAGAGGATCTGAGGCAAATCCTCGCCAAAAAAGCTGTAGGTGGAAAGATTAGAAATGGGCCTGCAACGATGCAACATCGTCAGCTAAGGCCTTGGCAAAGGATTCAACTAAAGAGCTCTTCCATGTCTTTGCTGTTTGTCGTCTGTGGACAGTTTGTTCGTGGCTTGGGTGAGCTTCACACCTTCAAACTTGGCTTTCGCTTGAGTGAGACGGATGCATGGGGGCTGATGGGCGTGTGGCCCCATAATACGAGCCGACCAATTATAGTACACAGATGCATGAAAAGTGGACTTCCTCTTCTTCATCGTTGCCTTGCCGTCCCACGCTTATGTCCGAATCCCGCTTTGTTGACGTTTGCAAGGCCAGGCCTGAAAGTTTAATTGACTTCCTATCCGCTCACAAGAGGTATGTCGCAACAGTCAGAGAGACGCACATCCCCCCACCCCCTGTATTCGATCACGTTGAACTGCTTTCTATACACACAGCGGAGGTTATGGCGCCCCAAACCAAGACAGCACAAGAAAGTGGAGGTACTGAAACAGCCGGTACGCGCGTGGTCCATAGGCGGCTGGGCGCGCGGAAAGACAGAACGGGCTGCATCACCTGCAAGTGAGTGTCTGATGAGGTTGGGGTGTCCATTTCTTCCTTTGACACACCATGCGCCAGGCCTATGCGACTGACAGTCTAGGATCCGGCGGGTTAAATGTGGTGAAGAGAAGCCGGCGTGCAAGCGATGCACGTCGACGGGCCGAACGTGTGATGGCTATGCGCCAGCTACGACAATGACACCGGCGCCCAGGCAACACGTGCCACCGGTTCATCCCCTGCAGCGCACGCCAGAACCCTTGCTTTGTGCTCGTCCACGGCACTTGGTTGCTGGTGGCGCGCCGGTGGCCAACCAGCAGGAACATGCTGCCTTTCAGTTCTTTACGCACACGGGCGTGTCGTCGCTGGCCAGCTGCACCGACATTGACTTTTGGACCCGTCTCGTTCCACAGCTTTCCCACGCCGATGCAGCCATCTATCACGCGTCGGTGGCCGTCGGCGCGCTGCTGAAGGGGGCCCACGATGCCGTGGCGGGCCAGACTCAGGCTATGGCATTCCGCGCACAGCTCACAGCGTTTGCCATTGAGCGGCAGAACCGTGCCATCCAGAGCACGGTGCGCGGCCTGGTCGCACACCGCCGACGGCCGGCGGATGCCGACGTCATGACATTGGTTCTGCTCTTCTGCATCGAGGCACTCCAAGGCCGCGAGCACCAGGCCCTGACGCTGTGCCAACGCGGCATCCTGGCCCTGGCCACGGCGCACATGATGCACGCGATGCCCGCCGGCCTGGTTGCCCTGCTCGACCGCATCCAACTGCAGTGCCGCATGTTCAACGCGGGCAGCGCCGTCAACGAGTCGCCGCGGCTCAAGCAAGCCATGGCGCGGCTGCTGGCTAGCCCCCCACGGGCCCCGTTTGCGTCTCTGGACGCAGCACGCGACGAACAAGCCGTCCTCATTGCTGCCGTGCAGCACATGGTTGCCGCTCGCTGGGGCGGCCTGAGCGACGGGGCGGCGACGGATGCGGGAAAGAATGGCGTCCAGAGTTCGGCCCTTGATGCGGCTCTTCTCGGCTGGCGGGCCCGCTTTGACCGCTACTTGGCCTCGCCACATGCATCTGCCCGCACACCAGAACCGGGCGCGGAACGCGTGGCGTCGTTGCTTCGCCTGCGCTACTTAATCGCGCGCATCTGGATGGCCGACGGTCCCGGCCGCAGCGAAATGGCGTACGACGACCATGTGGAGGTCTTTGCGGGCATTGCGGCGGAAGCGGAGAGTTGTTTGGGCGTTGGCGGGCAGGCCGACCCAGCTGAGCAGACCCTCCCAATGCACGCAAAGCCCACGCCGTTTACGTTTGAGATGGGCCTCATTCCGCCACTCTATTGGGCGCTGCTCCGGTGCCGCCATCCACTGCTGCGCCGGCGCCTCCTCGTGCTCCTCCGACAGGCACCTGCCCAGGAAGGCCTCTGGAGCCGGGACATTATGGTCCAGGTGGCCGAGAAGGTCATGGCCTATGAGGAAGCTTCCCTGGGACTGGGGCCCGACGTAAGGGACGAAGCGCGAGATGCGCGAGATGTGCTGCTGCAACGACGGCCGCCCGAGGAGGCGCGCATCAAGGTTGTTCGCATCGGCCTACGCACAACTCTCGCCAACGGACGACAAGGCGACGCGGTCGAGTGCTTCGGGATGCCGTATGGGAGAGAAGGCGGCCTACACGTCGTGTTGGCGTTTTCTGTATTTTGTGATCCTGACCAGTGACCGACTCTGACAAACGCACTGAACAACAATATGCACCACCGCTGAAGAAATGCATATAGATCGTCCATTGCCTTCGCAGCATCCACGTCTGAAACCGAAGCCGCCGAAGACGCGACCGCGATCGATGCGCAGCCCGAATGCACCTCGTGTCCTTGTGCGTAATCTTCCATTTTCACTGTTCCACTTGTCCTGGGTAGCCGATCGATTCTTACAAGACCATCGAAATAAGCCGTCGTCCCGGGCGTCACTGCCGGTACGTTATGCAGGATCCAATCGGGATTCAATCGGAACCAAATCGGAATCGGAATCGGAATCGGAATCGGAATCCAGCAACCAAATGGGACTCGCTGCCTCATCGCCGTGTTCAACCAGAAAAGCTACTCCGCGTGCTAGCGTATTCTCCATTCCGAGCCTTCCTTGACGCCCATCAGGCTTTTTGGGATCCTCATTGGCGCTTTGGTTGGCCTTTATGGACCGGGAGGGTGCCGTGTTTCGATGCCGGCAGGTTTTCTGGGGATGTTGCAGACGAGGGTTTTGCGGGGGGCCACAATTCGGCAATGGAGAATGTGGGGAGCGTTGGTGTAGGACTAAAGCCAGTGTCACGGCGTACAGCATTGTGGTATGGTGATTGTATTCTGCGGGGCACATGCTACTAGCACTTCGATTCCAGCTTTGACAAATCGCTCCACTTGTATTCGACAACCTCTGGGAAGTACAACAGCAAAATACGTGCAAAGTTGGACAACGTCCCAAACAAAAACCACGGCCTTTTTCGCGGCCCCGGCACAGCACAGACGGGACTTGAAATCGGCAACAATCTGTACGCTCCGCTGCCTGTCTTGACTCCTTAAAATACTGTCTCCTCACCAACTACTCTGTTCGTCACTTTGCGCCTCCAACCTTACTCGACAGCCTCGCCGTCATTTCCTCCATCACACTTCACCCCCCCTCCCCCACCCCCATTATGACACTCGTCAACCAGCTGCTGTCGCCGTATGGCGCCGCCCTGTTGGCCGTGGCCGTGCTGGCCTACTACCTCGTGCCCTACTTCACCACTTACGGCGCCCTGCGCAAGCTGCCCGCGCCCTTCCCGGCCCAGTTCTCCGACCTGTGGCTGCTGTCGACTGCGCGCCGCGGCCGTCGGTACCAGCTTGTCGACGCGGCGCACGAGAAACTGGGCCCCGTCGTGCGCATTGCGCCCAACCACGTCAGCATCAACGACGACCAGGCCATCCAGGTCATCTACGGCCACGGCAACGGCTACCTCAAGTCGTCCTTCTACGACGCCTTTGTCAGCATCCGCCGCGGCCTGTTTAACACGCGCGACCGCGCCGAGCACACCCGCAAGCGCAAGGTCGTCTCGCACACCTTCTCGGCCAAGTCGGTGCTGCAGTTCGAGCCCCACGTCCACGAGAACCTACGCCTCTTTGTCCAGCAGTGGGACCGCCTCATCCAGACGTCCGGCCGCGGCGACAAGACGGCCCGCCTGGACTGCCTGACCTGGTTCAACTTTCTGGCATTTGACGTCATCGGCGACCTGGCCTTTGGCGCGCCCTTTGGCATGCTCGCGTCCGGCGCCGACCTCGCCGAGATCCGCGGCCGCCCCGACGAGCCGCCCACCTATGCGCCCGCCATCCAGATCCTCAACCGCCGCGGCGAGGTGTCCGCGACGCTCGGCTGCCTGCCCGCGCTCAAGCCGTTTGCCAGGTACCTGCCCGACCCCTTTTTCCGCCGCGGCCTGGCCGCCGTCGAGAGCCTGGCCGGCATTGCCGTCGCCCGCGTCAAGGCGCGCCTCGACAACCCGCCATCCATTGACCGCAAGGACCTGCTCGAGCACCTCATGCACGGCAAGGACGGCCACGGCAACCTGCTCGGCCGCGAGGAGCTGACCGCCGAGGCCCTGACCCAGCTGATTGCCGGCAGCGACACCACGTCCAACTCGTCCTGCGCCCTGCTGTTCCACGTCGTCCGCACCCCGGGCGTGCTCGCCAAGCTGGCGGCCGAGATCGACGCCGCCGTGCCCGACGGCGTCGACGTCCCCACCTACGACATGGTCAAGGACCTGCCCTACCTGCAGGCCGTCCTCGACGAGACCCTGCGCCACCATTCCACGTCCGGCATCGGCCTGCCGCGCCAGATCCCCCACGGCGCCGCCGGCCTGCACCTCCACGGCCACTACTTCCCGCCCGGCACCGTCCTGAGCGTGCCCACCTACTCGGTGCACCACGACAAGGCCGTCTGGGGCCCCGACGCCGACGCGTTCCGCCCCGAGCGCTGGGCGTCCGTCACGCCCCGCCAGAAGAACGCCTTCATCCCCTTTAGCTACGGCCCGCGCTCGTGCGTCGGCCGCAACGTCGCTGAGATGGAGATGAAGCTCATCGTGGCCACCTGGGTGCGCCGCTACCGCGTCGCGCTGCTCCAGGACCGCATGGAGACGCGCGAGGGCTTCCTGCGCAAGCCCGTCGACCTCTGGATTAGCATTGCCCGGAGATAGTGGGCGGAGAGCATGGCAACACGACTCGCCATAGGAGGTTCTGCATTAACACGTATCATGTACATTTATGAATATCGCCATCTTATTGTTCTACTGTATCTCTTTCTATGTTGACAAAAAGCAACAAAATTGATAGAACGACGGGATGTTACAAGGACTTGAGACTGCAGAGCGCCAGTTGATGGAAAACGGCCGTGAACCAATGCATTGCCATATCCTATGTAGAAATGAAGCAGACAGTCGTGTTGAACCAGGCGGCGTCTGCCAGTTGACATTGCGGGGTCATTTGGTGGAGTCTCAGGTTGGAGAAGGCCTCACATTAGCGGAACATGGAAGACAGGCCCGCTCTTTCGACTTGGCGAGACTCAGCGACAGCAAAGACAGCCACAACGGCGACCGCCATGGACTTGCTTCTCGTCCCACCCGATGCTACTCTGCCCCGACAACGAGCACGGTACGTGGGCACAGAGCAGTGGGATGGCGGCGCTTTCTTCACGTTTGCGAGGCGCCAAGGCCGCATGCGAACCATTCCGGCGCGGCTCCGACAGTATACAACGCCCACGTCTGCGTCCACCAGCGATGTCGACCTGCGTGCTGAGGATGAGTTTACCGAGCCGGTCTGGCAGACACCACAGGCCGAGCAGGAGGCCTTCTTGCAGACGTGGCTCTTCTTTGGTCTCCTGGCGGAGTTCTTTGGCCTCAACGAAGACGGCCGCGGAGAACGTCATGTCGACGCGGACACCGCACAAACGGAGATTGCGGCCCTCTACAAGGATTACGTCCAAGACGCCACCGACGAGAGCGGCACAACGTCAAAGTACCTCACAGGTGCGCCGATGGTGCTGGCCAAGGACGCGCCGCTTCGGATCGTTGCCCGGCTGCGACTTGCCGGCCCCAACATCGAGCAGCGTGTCCAGCATCTCCACCGGTGCCTGGCCTTTAGCTGCTCTCTGCTCCACGGCGCCATCCACACGGCGTTTGACCCGGCCCTCAAGACGTCCATTGCTGCCCTGGGCGAGCTTTTGTCGACCGGCTTTGCCACAGCCTGCGCTCTGCAACGAATTCCCAGTGCCGGCGTGAGCTTTGGCTTTGCCTGGGCCGATCGCTACCTGGAACCGCACAGCACGCTAGAACAGCACATGCTCGCTCGTGGATGGTGCATCAGCGACGTCGAAAAGATCCGCTCGACCCACCAGGGCCTGGGCACGCGGCACTACCTGAGCCATATGCGCACGCGCGGGCCTGCGCGCGACCACAGCTCTTGCTCCAAAGATGGCTGTGTCGCCTTTCAAATTGACGCGTCTACCTACCGGCCGTCCCACGCACAGAGTGAATGTGCCTGCCGACTGCAGTTTGTTGATGCCGCGGCCGTGTTGCATGTCTTGCAGGAGACGGCCGTGTATCCCGTCTTGCAAATACAAATACACCCAGGTGCGGACGGCGAAAGTGCGGCGGCGACTGTGGTGGAGCCGTACGCGGAAGGCGTGCCATATGTTGCCATATCACATGTATGTTCAGATGGAGGCTCGACCACCTTGTCTTATTGTTGCACCGGCTGATCGAGAGTCTCGCGCAGGTTTGGGCCCATGGCATGGGCAACCCAACCGCAAATGCTCTCCCGGCATGTCAGATTGCAAAACTAGCAAAGCTTGTGTCACAACTGCAGACGGCAACGTCTTCCGCGAACGAGGCTGTGCCAGGCGATGCATCTGGGCCCAACTACCGTGTCTGGATCGACACCCTGCTTTGTCCCATACAGCCAGACGGAAAGAAGCTCGCGCTGCAGCACATCCCCAATGTCTACCGCAACGCCACACACGTCCTTGTCCTCGATGCGTCGCTCATGCAATATTCTGCGGACGACCTGTTGCCGGAGGAGATCCTGCTTCGTATATTCAGCTCGTCCGCCTGGATGCGGCGTTTGTGGACTCTGCAGGGTGAGCTGTGACCGTCCCACCCCTGTGCTTTGTGATGCTGTCGGTGGCACGTACGTTTGTCTGACTTTGTACAGAGGGCGCCCTGGCCCAGTCTTTGTACTTCCAGTTCGCCGACCGAGCCGTTGCCCTAGCAGACGCGCTGGCGAAACTGTACGCAAAGGGCCTGGCGGACGCCCGGTACATGCGGATTTGGCAAGACATGTCCACCGAGCACGTGCACCTCCGCGGCTGGTTCCGGTCCATCGACGACCAAGAAAGCTCCGCGACGCTGAGCCTCGCCAACCTACAGCGGGCCCTCCACTTCCGCACCGTGTCCGATCCAGCCGACGAGCCCCTGTGCATCGTGACATTGCTGTCCCTCGACCAGACGTACGTCATGGCCGCATCCCATGTGCAGGATCGCATGACCCGTGTTTGGGCACTCGTCGCTGAGAAACTCGGTGGCGCGGTACCTGCGCGCGTACTGTTCTCGTCGGACGAGACACTCGACATACCTGGTTGGCGGTGGGCGCCTCGGAGTCTACTGGGAGCCAGCCATGCCGCCAATGGACACGTCATGGACGTCCATCACCGCATTATGCGGTTCCGCGACTGGCAGTCGGACGGTCCCGCATCTGACAATACGGCGAGCACTTCTGGCACCGGCACACCGACACCATGGGGTCTCCGTGTTCAAATGGGAGGTTACCTGCTAAAATCGATTCCTTTGCTGCCGTACTTGCCTCTTCACCCCTGGGAACGTGTGGCAGGCTCCCGCGAGGACTTTATATACGTGAAGCACGTAGCGTCGGGTCGGTGGCTCCGTCTTATGGACGTGTACCGCATGGAGATGGTCCGGACATGGTCGGCAGAAGAGCGGCGCCTGTACGACGTCAAGGCCGACAACCGACTGTGTCGCCTCATCGACAACGGTCGACAAGCACTGTTGTGTGATGTACGCTTGCCAGAGGGACATGCGCATCCCACTCTCATGGTTCAATTGGAACATGGATGGGACCAGCAGAGCGGGACGCGCGCCGACAAAGAAAAGTATGGGACGCGACGCACCCTACGAGCACGGCGCGAACGCATGGTCATCCTCGAGTGGGCGAGCCTTGCCCATGCTGTCGTTGCAGACGGTCTTGAAGGGCTTGCCCTGCAAGTTGCTAACAGCGACGCTACAGCGCAATTTCTAGACGCGATGGCCAACGCCACAAACTGGGACCAAGGTCGACGGGCCTTGGAACCAGTACAAGACGTCATGAAGACGGTTGTGGCAGCAAAGTGGACGTCAGACCCGGCCTTTGTGGATGCTGTGCGGGACACGCGCGGGCCCAATATGGAAAGCGTGCTCTGGGCAGAGATTCCGATGCGCTTTTCCCACAGGATTGTCTGTGAAGACGTCTCCGCGTCGCAGGTCTGGTTGATTGATTAAGAGACTGCAATGTGTATGCTTAAACCTATACAGACTGAGCCTGAATGGCAACTATGTACATGTGCACTCCGGTGCTGCCACTGGTCTTGTTCCGAAACGCTCCGTGCTTCGAGCAACATGGCAAGCGTCATTGTCTCGCCCTTCAAGCAGTCGCGGCGGCGGCGGCGGCACAGCCACTGGTCGTCACGCAGCTGCAGACCGTGGACACGGCGCTGAGAACCTGCAGGCCCGTAGCGAGGCCGCAGTCCGCCACGACACAGCCAAGTGCGGCATTCTGAATGGCAGCCGACTGCGCGCATTGGCACGCGTAATTGCCGTCGGTGCAGCCGGCATTGGTCACGGCGGCCGACAGAATGCAGCCAGACGCACACGACGGGACCGCAGCAATGGCTGCCGTGCAGGGGCTGCAAGGCGGCGGCGTCACCTGGGCCTGGGCCACGGCGAGGAGAGCAGTGACGAACGAGAGCGTGTAGAGCATTGTGCCGGCTGGACTGGTGATGTTTTTTTGCCTGGTGTTCTGTGGGTGCAGTGTCAGTACAGTTACAGTAGTTGGTATATAATAAAGACCAAGTGTTTGAGCCTGCCTTTTGATTTGGAGTGTTGGAGTGTTGAGACTGTTAAGGATTGTCTATCGTTTGCTTTTCTGTGTCGACGAGACGTTGAGGCCATATTTATATACTCTTTTTCTGTTATACCAGCCGAAAAACCTCTCTGACTTCCCTGCAAATCATGACCCGGCTTTGGGGGCCAAGCACAGGCGCTACACAGCCTGGCACAGGCGCTAAGCATGCCTGCACAGGCGTGCACAGGTGTGCACGCCTGTGCACCGTCTGCGCCACAGCAAGTATGTGCACGGTTATAAGTATATAGCTCTAAGCATACGGCCTCATCTATTAACGAGGGACCCAAAACGTGGAAACGCTCTTTCTTCAGAGGAGGAGGCCGTAAACAAGTCCTAGCAAGTGTTGTAAAGTCCTTCTAAGTGTTACGATTCTGGCCCCACGAGGCCCAGAAGGAGACCCGTGGCTGACTGTGTGGCTGAAGGAAAAGCGCCATTTTGGGTGGCGCTTCCACACGGGATAAAATACTACGAGCAAGAGAAGGAGCTATGGAATGACTAAGCAAAGAAACTTCATACGGGAATGAAGTTCACGAATGAAGCCGTATGAAGCAGGAAGCAACTTCATACCAGAATGAAGCTTAGATATGAAGCCATATGAAGTTGCCTAGATATATAAGACTGAGGCTTCCTCCCAGTGATTAGACAGAAGACTCAGTCGTTACCGATTGTCTGAAATATAAACCTACATGAACTTATATTCCTGTGCCCTCATTGCATACAATCCCCATACCCACCACCTACGTTAAGTGCTGACTATTGTTCAGCAGTTACACCTTCCCATTGTTCTTATCAGAACAAGACCCCTCCCCTAGACTGATCACCTAGCAGAGACTCTCTCCCTTGGGAAGTGCCTTTGTAACAAGGGTACGCCGCCTAGGTCGAGAGTACGCCATAGACTTTATTAGGTGAAAATGGTAAAAAACACCCTATAATTATAGAAATTATATAATTATGCCGTAGAATTTTATCATACTAGTTATATAATAAATATAACTAATAACTTATGAGCGGGATTTCGCGTCTCCCGTGTCACACCTTGTTACGACAGGGACGGCTCATCGGACTGGCGGCTCGGTATAGAACGGCTTAAGAGGGAAAGCAGATTAGAGAGAGTTTCACAATGTTAATGCAAACCCTTAGATGTGTCTGCGCTGTAATGTTGTTAAGATGTAATGGAGTAAAGGAGTAGTATGAGGAGTCGAACATTTATTAAATGAAGAGAGGAAAGGTGAAGGCGAAGTAAGGGCCCGTCGACTTGTCGGCGAAGGATGTTCTGTACTGTGCTATTTTTCCTGTAATATATATGGCTCTTTATACCTTGAATAGAAGGAGAAATACTCTCCCTGAAGAACAGCCAATACCAATACGCTGACCCGATATAGAGGATATTATAGGTCGCCAGTCCGATGGTAGCCAAAGCACCTTCTGGTTATTTTTTATAACCCAAGCCCCATCCACGCTAACACCGTACTGTCTACCGGGGGGTGAAAAGATAGTAGACGCAACCGGACGTCTACAATCCACGACTATCCGCGTACACTCTCCAGAGGCCGCGTCCCAGAGCCTGATAGTCTCGTCGTGTGAGCCCGAGGCGAGTTGTGTCCCGTCCGGTGAAAAGATAACTGACGTGACCGAATGGCTGTGGCCCTCTAACATCTGCGTGCACTCACCCGACGCCGTGTCCCAGAGCCTGATAGTCTCGTCGTGTGAGCCCGAGGCAAGTTGTGTCCCGTCCGGTGAAAAGATAACTGACTTGACCGAATCGTAGTGGCCCTCGAGCGTTTGTATACACTCTCCCGACGCCGTGTCCCAGAGCCTGATAGTCTTGTCGTTTGAGCCCGATGCGAGTTGTGTCCCGTCCGGTGAAAAGATAACTGACTTGACCGAATGGCTGTGGCCCTCTAACGTCTGCGTGCACTCTCCTGACGCCGTGTCCCAGAGCCTGATAGTCTTGTCGTGTGAACCCGAGGCGAGTTGTGTCCCATCCGGCGAAAAGACAACTGACCTAACTACATCGTTGTGGCCTTTTAACGTATACGTACACTCTCCCGACGCCGTGTCCCAGAGCCTGGCAGTGGCATCGTATGAGCCCGATGCTAGTTGTGTCCCATTCGGCGAAAAGATAACTGACGTAACTTCACCATTGTGGCCCTTCAACGGCTGTGTATATTCCCCCGACGTTATGTCCCAAAGTTTAACAGTATTATCGTAGGAGCCCGATATAAATTGTGTCCCGTCCGGCGAAAAGACAACTAACGTAACCCAACCGCTGTGGCCCTCGAACGTCTGTGTGCACTCTCCGGACGTCGTATCCCAGAGCCTGACAGTAGTATCGTTTGAGCCCGAGGCGAGTTGTATCCCGTCCGGTGAAAAGATAATTGACTGGACCGTATTATAGTGGCCCTTTAACGTCTGTGTACACTCTCCCGATGTCGTATCCCAGAGCTTGACAGTAGTATCGTGTGAACCCGAGGCGAGTTGTGTCCCGTTCGGCGAGAAGATAACTAATAGAACTGAATCGCTGTGGCCCTTTAATATCTGTGTACACTCTCCCGACGCCGTGTCCCAGAGCCTAGCAGTGTTATCGTAGGAGCCCGATGCAAATTGTGTCCCATCCGGCGAAAAGACAACTGACGTAACCCAACCGTTGTGGCCCTCGAGCGTCTGTATACAGTCTCCCGATGTCGTACCCCAGAGCCTAACAGTGGTATCGTATGAGCCCGAGGCGAGTTGTGTCCCATCCGGCGAAAAGATAACTGATAGAATCGAACCGTTGTGGCCCTCGAGCGTCTGTATACAGTCTCCCGATGTCGTACCCCAGAGCCTAATAGTCTTGTCACTTGAGCTCGAGGCGAGTTGTATCCCGTCCGGCGAAAAGATAACTGACGTGACCGAATGGCTGTGGCCCTCGAGCGTTTGTATACACTCACCCGACGCCGTGTCCCAGAGCCTGATAGTCTTGTCGTTTGAGCTCGAGGCGAGTTGTGTGCCGTCCGGCGAAAAGACAACTGACGTAACCTTATCGTTGTGGCCCTCGAGCGTTTGAAGGCATGCGCTCCAGTCTACGCTCAGAGTAGGCACGATGTGAGCTCCGATAAGATTTTCTACTCTAAATAGATCTCGGACTTTGCTTTGCTCTGGGCTGAATAAGAGCGCCGACGCATATGTTTGAAGTGGGGCAATGTCGATAATATACCTATAAGACAAAATAAATCGTCGTATATCGTAAAGAAGGCCACTTAATACTTGTCCCTTTTTAAGTACCTATACTAATATTAATATAAGTCATAAAGTGTCGAGAGTATAAACACGTACCAGGTGTCCTAGCTTTCTTATCGCGATGACCCCGTCCGAGATGCTTTCAAGGAGACTAAGCGCCTCGAGCCAGTATAGAAACTTCTTTTGTAAGAATCTATGCACCTGTCCACCATCCTGTAGATCGACATCGGTCCCGTCCGTCTTCTCTAAATGGTCCACCCAAAAGAGACAAGCATAGCGAATCGGAGCCAGCGGGTCGCAATCGGGCCGCACGACCTCGTTTATAAAACAGCCCGGGTTATTAAGGCCGTATATATCTCGCTTTAAGCTGCGTGACAGGGCTGTGAGCGAACGTGACGCGATAGTAGCGTGCCGGTCTGGGATGCCGGATGGAAAGATGTAGTGTGCCGCTTCGTTAATAAGATAGTCTTTTGCCGATTGGTGTATAAAATATAAGACTCCCTCGCGAACCGTCAGGAAAGAGCCACAGAGTTGGACGATCTCGTGTATATCTTCTATGCTGCAGCCTTCCAGTGATGCACAAAGAACGTGTAATTCCGTTAAAGCGATAGGCCGGTACACGGTCGAGGCGATGGCGAGAATGTCTTTATAGATGTTTCTGTCGTCAACGTCGTCAGAGTTATTAATAACCGCGATCATACGGCTATAAAGTGACGAAAGACCTCTAGGAAAAGACTTTACTATCTTGAGCGCCTTCCGTCTCTGAACCTTTAGGTCGGCAAGCACTTGACACACCAAGGCAACCCAGAGAAAAGTGCCGTCGGCATTGGCAGTCAAGTGTTGCGAGATAGCGTCTTCTGTCTTATTATCGTACTTCTTTTCTCGTGCTAGCTGCTCCACTCTGTGACGGATGTAAACTGCCACGGCATCAGAGATAGCGCGCTGGTTCAGCTCCAGGTGTAGTTGGGCGTTTTGCTCTACGCCGGTAAACTTGCGCTCGATGTCTGGCCAGTTTCGGCTCGAGACGACCCACTTGGCGCTGGAGGGCTTGCAGATTAACTGAAGCAACTCCGGCAGCCCTAAGGTACATTCATCGAGGGCATCGACAAGCAGAATTGCATTTACTGCCTGTTCGTCGGCTAGCATATCTGTGAGGATCTTGCATAAAGCTTGCCAAGCATTGATTTCTTCAAACAGCCGTTTCCCCGCGTCGTCGTACTTCTTGCGGACATGGGAGATGAGCGCGGGCCGTTGCAGGATGAGCATATAGATGAGTCCGCGCAGCACGGCTGTGGCATGGTTGAGCTGGTCATTCGTGGCCTGACAGAAGAAATAAGAAAGGCACGTGCTGGGCTCGAGTTCGTCGATGATGCCGCATAGGAGCATCGTCTTACCCTTGCCAGGGTCGCCCCGAATCCAAAGAACACGACCCTGGGGCCCGCTGCGCCACTGCCGGAAGCTGTTGTTCTCTAGGATCCAGCGATAGGCGTCTCGGAGGAGGCCGCCCTTTGTGTCTTGGATCCGTGTCTTGTCGTCGCGCGGGTCTAGTAGGCGCAGGTCTTTTAAACAGTCCTTATCGCGTGGGTGTATAGGGGAAAACACTAATAAAGCTAGAGTCAGTTAAATTCATTATATTTTCACCCTACTTTTAGTATCTATAAAAGCCTGACAATATAACTTATAGAAGCGTAACCGGGTCTCCACTATCAGGAACTCAAACTAGTGGTCCTTACCAAAATGCTGAGTTTGCGCATTGTACATCGCTGCACTTTCAGAATTGTAGTAGTTGCTCTGTGTGCCGCTACCAGTATTAGTATTGATTGATCCCGCACCCGAGTGCGTAAACTGGGCCTGTCCCTGCTCATCCGAAGCATTCTTCAACTCTTTAATCGCTTCTGCAAGGCCCTTCAGCGTGTCCCCGTCTTGGAAGATCTGGTGTTTCGCTAGAAGATCCAGGTTGTTGACAACCTTCTCCACGAGCGTTTTCACATCGTTGCTCTTGACTTTGATTGCCAAGGCGCTCTTATACCACTCTGTCCTAGAAGCGTTATTCGTTGGCAGAGTCTTATCGAAGAGCTCCTTCAGACTGGCAGCACTGTCCTTGCATTGCTTTAGAACAGGCATCGCAGTCTCCAGCGCCTGCTCGCCGACATTGCCTTGTCTGATGTTGTGCTCAGCGAGGACAAGAGTGTGGCACACCAGGGGAATTTGGTCAGCGGCCGTGCGGAACTTATTAGGAAGTCCCTTAGCGTCGCCGTACGCATCATAAACCGTGTAGGCCGCTTCACAGATCCCAGTGATCGCCGAGATTAAACCCAGCACGGTGGCCGCCTCGACGAAGCCCGTCATGTTGATGTGGTTCTTTGTCTTTGCTTTTGTGGAGAGAGACTTTTTGAGGTAGGCTGAAGATAGATGCAGACGGAAGATAAATGCCGGCTTATTTCATGGTCCGTGATTGTTTAGGGAAGAGGTAGGAAGAGGTACCGTTGTAACAAAGACTGTGATCTGCGACAGTTGTGTAAAGTGCTTTTTTGTTGGTCTGTAGCGGAGTCTTGCTTGAGGCTATCGCGAAACCAGTTTCGAGCTACGGGTGGTACTACAGGTGGGATTACTTAAATGAGGGTATTTCAGCTAAAAGCTGGTGAGTCGAGGGGAGTGGGGGCGAAAACGCGGGCCTGGGATAGCCGGGTCAAGGGACTGTCTCCCCGCTGTGGCTGGAATTGGGTGGTTGCGCCACACAGCTTTAGCCCCCACGGGCATCAACAACAGGCCAGGACGACAACACTTGACCCCTCAACGGGAACGGAGCAATATTAGTGCGGCTAGAGGACAGAGGCGGTGCACATGTGGCTAAGGAACGGCCCGTCTTAGGACGCAGGACAACGCGTATAACGTGTAGGAAGCAAGGAGAAGTAAACACGCAAGGAGGATCAAGACAGAGGACGAGCGGCGAAATTGTATCATATAAGCAAAAGTACATAAGCAGAGTACAGACGAGCCCTTTAGGCTTAGTGCCTCCGGGCGGGATAAACTTTAATCAATGCCCCTATTTTAAGTAAATAGACCGTTCACGTATATACACAGCATCATCTATTTACTTGTGCTGTCGTCCTTCTTTTTTATGCAATAAAAGATTCAATCGTCGTAACCGACATGCAAAAGGCCGTGGTGAGTCAACTGCCGCCATAGGGTAACCAAAGCCGGCTGCTCCGGCCATGCCTGTCGTGACTCTTTCCGCGTGTCGCATTCCTGTGGTCTCTCTTCTCACCATGCCCTGGCCTTTCAACGCCTGCTCTCAGAGGGGACATACTGTCTGGCTTCACGTCCTAGATCGTGCACGGGTGGTCGGTCCCGTCTCCCGTAACAGGCTTCGTCTCAAAGACAAATCCGTCAGCTCCATCAAGCAGAGCTATCTGTATGTCGGCACACAGATGCGCAGGGCAGTGCTACACTCTAGTATCGCCACCCGTTAGGAATCCTCGGACCGATGTCTCGTTTCGACTCCTTGCCGGAACAATCGACTTTTGAAAGTGTGATGTCGCTTTATTTATACCTAGTCAAGTTATGAAATAGATTAAAGTTAGTACTATAGCTTAAAATGTAGCCTTGCAGCCACAGTGTCCCCCATCGATCAACGATGGCCTTAGGGCAGGCAGTGTGTACGTTCAGCCGCTGCTTATGTTACAAACCGATGACGCTCGTCGCCATCCCTAAAAGAACATAGTTCAGAACACGGCTTCGCATCTGTACGAGAAGGCACGTGAGAAAACAGCTTATTTAACTAGGGGGTGCGAAAACTGTGACCGGTCTCTACTGCAGGCCCTACACAGGGCAACAAAACACGGTTCCGCCACAAAATCAACATATACAGTCGATACATCCGTATTATGCGCTGGAACAGTTTTCACTCTGCTATTAATCTAATCTACGACAGACCACAACCTCTGCCTACGATGCTCTTTCGAATGACTTCTGTAAGCTCCTTGAGCCACGGGCCTCTTTTATTATCTACAAATGCCTTGATGGAGCCACTGTGATTGAAAATGGCCGGTATTTCGTCACGAAAACCTCGCTCGAGAGGGCCCGTACCAAGTACGGGAGCTCACCCATCGTTGAACTTAATATGACTCTGGAAATGGTGAACGAGTTTATTACATGTGCGCACTTGATGGTGGTGTTGGAAATGATTAGCCCCAACAGTGTGAATATTACCTATAGTAACAATAAGCCAGCTACCTACTCGTACGAAACACTGCTAGCTATAAAAGCTGCCGATGGCCTCTCTCTCATGCTCTCCTTTGATTCTACCAAGGATCGATTGGCAGGCTGCGGCCCGGCTCTACAGCGACTCTCTGACCAGATCACGGAGATTTGTCGAACGGGGCCCATTTTCCCTTATGAGTATGAAGCAACGAGACCAAAAAAGTGTAGATATAATGAAGTCACACACGGCGCGCTTGCGGCTCCATCTTGCCCCGTGTTCCCTCTTTACATTGCCGCGCTTCTTACCTTTTCCATCTTTCCGTAGCCTGTAGCCAGTCTTTTCGTCCATACACCTAATAACAGTACATTCCATAGTTGAATACCAAGCTCTTATGAGAAGTACGTGCGGCAACACGAAGTGGAGTATGCTACGTGTATAAGGTGGTTCGCCCGAGAGGCGGTCGTCAACAGTAGAATAGAGGGAACTAAACAGCGTGGTACTAACATGGCTGGTATATAAATGGCTGGTATACAAACATGGCTAGTATATAAAAATGGCTGGCATAGACATGGCTAGTAAACAAACATGGCTAGTATGCAAACATGACTTGCACACAAAGATGGCTGGCACAAATACATACAGTGAGGCGGGCCAAGTGCTCATCCACCACGAGTCAGCCACATAAGTGAAAGACGCCGACTCGCAGACGCCCGAAACTTCAAAGAGGCGCGTAAGCCACAGGTGCCCGACAATGGACCACTAAAAGGCGCAAAACCAAAGGTGCCTAAAATTAGACCCTGCCAAATTCTGGGTAACCTACATAGGGAACTTAACTGGCCCTCTCTGGTACTACGTGAAAAGGGGTCAAGAGAAGGACCCAGGGTGCCAAGGAGGCGCGCAAGAGGTACAAGCTCTGTGCAGACTGAAAGAGATACGAGTAAGTCACAAGGGATTCAAAGTGGACCTGCCTTACATCAGTAAGCGGATGTTACAGACACGTTAATCGACCCCACTAAAACTGTATTTTCACCTCTTATCTAATAAAAAGATGGTCGCCTTGAAAGTTTCTCTGTAGCTGTGCCGGCCCGCGATAACATAGAGGCAAGGGAGCACAGAGAGCACAGGGAGCACAGGGAGCACAGGGAACACAGGGAAGCACATCCGCTAAGCAGGTTGGAGCGGGGACGGCACAGGTGCACGTCCAAAGAAGGAAATTCCTAGTGAGGGTTTTCGGGTGGTATATTGGGCTGTTATGCGACGCTCGTTGACCAATCTCTTTCAAAACTGGTCAATGGTCAATACATCTCACCATCGCGTCCGCTTCTCGGCAATGACCACACTTTCCATGTGAAAGGGGACTTGCTGCCCGTTGATTGGCAATCACCGAATTGTGATACGACTCGCAGTTCATGACTCGACTGCATCGGGTCTGGGGAATAAAAATGGGGAATACGAATGGGGTAATGCAACCTGGGGTAATGCAACTGCTGCTGTTACAATATGACGAGGGGTTTATTCTGCCCTTACGGGACGTCACCGAGTATGGTTATTGCATTCTATAGTCTTGTTTATTATTTTCTCTACTATGAGCGGCGACACATACTTGCCCACAAGCCACTTATTAGATACTGCGTTGTCATGCATTTCGTCACATCATGGAGGGCTCTTGCAGCAGTGTTTCAACCACAGAGAAACATGTGAAATCATATGACAATTGGTGGCCAAGAAGGAAACCACCTCGGTGACGCCAAACGGGAAACGATAGCGGTACGTGAGAGGGGAAGGTAGAGAGGGGGAATAATTAAGACAGAACGTGCTCGGTGTTCGTGAGACAACTTGGGTCACATCGCGAGGCTCCGTGCCATCGTAGGACCTTGAAAAGCTACATGTGACGGTACTTCATACCCTCCGTGGATGGCACCTCCTGGTGGGTGGCCTACGTCGCATTGTGTGACTGTGCGCACTCCACTGTCCGCTCGAAAGTGCTCTACAGGCGTTTGCCTGGTTTGTGCTTCTCGTTGTATGTCGCCTGGATTTGCCGTTCAGAACTCCTTTCTATAAACAAAACTCTGGGAAACACGGAAACATTCGGCAAAACACGGTCACATACAATGAACACAATGAGCTAGAGTGTCTGTTAACGAGAGCGCATTACCTGGAGTACAACACCGGAGATGCTCATTGTCTGTGCAGATATACATCGAAGCATTCCGAGCTTCAAGTATAATACCACGCCGGCGATATAGCTATGTTCGGCTAGCGCCGGTAGAACGCCGATGTTTGTTCGCGGGGCTCTGCCCCGTCGCATTGGGCTCGAACCGGCAGATGTTGCTCGACCAATCTGAACAATCATTAATGCGTCGTTCTATGTGGTTGACTGACCATCGCCTTGGTAATAATGACTGGGCAGTCGGAAGAGCAAACAAAGAAATAAGCCGTTTTCGTCGCCGTCTCGACATCCGTCCTCCGCTCTAACACGCTTTCTCGCCAGCAATCCTGCACGTCACATCCCTCACTATAACCACGGGAAGCACCAGTAAACGCGGACACGGTTCCCGACATGTTGCTGGTCGCATTCTCTTGTCGTGGGTGCGTGAAAGAAAACCCAAATAATTTTTCTCGTTGTTCTCATCTCGGGTTCAGGAGTTCCCTATCTCGTATTTAAATGTCGTTGATAGACAGTCATCACATGGAAACGACAACGCAACAGGGAAATACTTAAAGTACATAGTCTGGCTAAGAGGTTAATACGAATGTCGCCGCTTTAGGTTTATTGGTTTCACAATGAGATGTTCACTACAGCCAGGGATATCCTTCACGGCCTAGAACAACACATGGAAACAGTACGCCGACAACGGTTGGCAAGCGGTACATGTACATGCCTTATTTTAATTAAGTGTAAACATAAAGATGTTGAAATGGAAAGTTGACATTCGTTAGGACAGCATGCTGAAATGAGGTTTCGGCGGCAGACAAAGTGGCAGTCATGGAAAGGCAACGCGTGTTTCGCCGACCTATGAGCGCAGGAGAATGAAAAGGGTACATCTCATGTTCCAGAAACACGTCATATACACCTGGCAAACAGGCGACCGTCATCTTGTAGGTAATAGTAGTTGTCACTTAGCGTTTACTAAGAATAATTATACGGTTAACAGGTCTACGCACCTGCTCGTAATGAGACAGAACACGTGTTGCTAAAGCAGATTATATCCATGCTTATTAAAATAAAAAATGAAGCTGTGGTTGCGTGGTGTGATGCGTGCCGGGGAAGAAAAGAAAATGAAAATGAACACGAAAAACGCCAGAAACACCATGTACAGAATCAAACTCGTCCCCCCAAGTCTGCTCTCAGATACAAGTCCCGGCCGTCGCCAATTTCGTCTCGGGCCGTCACTGCGTTCCGTCCTCTTCCACAAACGCTCCTGGCATTGTACAGGGCCGGGGAACGTTCGGTTCAGGTTGTTTGACGGGAAACGCGTGTATTGTTTTGTCATTGCCGCGATTTGGCGGTGCGGCGGCGTGCTTGGGCTGCCGCGGCGGCCTCGCCAGCGGATACGGCCACGGCGAGGCAGCTCCTGGCGTTCGGACACGACGCAGGGTAGCACGGGTACGGAATGCAAAATAGTCCCGGTTCGGAGCGGCGCCGGTAGCATTCGTGGCGGCTGTTGCAGCTGTGGTGGTCGTGGTGGTCGTGGCAGGGATCCCACCGGCCGCCGTTGCCCGAAGACGAGGCGGCCGGCCACGCGTGGCCGGACGGGCGCGGTAGAACGGGTCTGGTGTCTGTGGAGTTCTTGTCGCCGTGGCGACGGGGGTTGGTAGTGCATTTCTCGCTGGTGGTGGTTTGACGGGCGTTGTTGGGACGGTCACGGTGTCGACGAGCGGGGCAATTGGGCCAATCTGACGCGGGTTGGTGCTGAGCCCGTCGCCGTTGAAGCACTTGACGAGCATCTGGGCTGCCGTTGCCCTCTTGTCGGGATCCCGCCGGCCCATGGCGCTGATGGGCGAGATGTGCGGGTTCGTGGCCGCGATATGAAGAACCGTCTTCCGGATACTCTCCTGCCTTGGCCGACGCCCATCCACAATGCCCCGAAAGCCATCGACATCCAACACCCACAGAAGGGTCACAAACAATGACCAGATGTCCACTCGGGGCGTCTGCGGCTCTTCGTAAATGATTTCTGGCGCAGTGAAGTCCGGTGTGCCCACATGGGTCACAGCGACACGTGCTGAGTTGCAGAAGCCGAGATCGCCAAGGCAGAAATGGTATTTCCCGTCCGGTGTAGGATCATAGAGAATGTTCTCTGGTTTCAGGTCCCGATGGATCAGTCCCTTCACGGCGAGATAGTCGAGAGCCTTCAACATGTGGTGCAGCGTTGTGGTGGCCAGTTTGTCAACAGACGATCCAGGACTTTGTGTGACTAGACTGTGAAGGGTACCCGTTTTTAGCGCCATGAAGATATGAGCTACCGGTTGGTCCGAGTCTTGAAACCCCAGGAACTCAACGATGTGTTCCTTGAGAATAAAAAAGAGAGAAAATCAGCCTTTGTACAGCGGAGAACAGTGAGTGGGTCTGCAGAAAGACACTTACATGACTTATCGAAGAGAGCGCCTGGATTTCTCGCTTTAGATACAACCACTCCCGGGGGTTTTGAAGTCTCCCCGCCTGCTTGATGTCTTTGACAGCCAGCAGTTGCCCCGTGTCGACATTGACCGCCTTGCTAACTTCACCAAATGAACCAGAGCCGAGCTTTTCGCCAATCGTCTTGAAGCGAATTGTATCCGGCGAAGGACCGCCAGGCGTGTGGATTCGGGTCAGCATACCTGTGGGCAGGGCGGTGTCACGGAGCAAGTCCAGTGTCCGGGCAAGCCGCGGATTCGGCTGTAGCATGGCCGATTTTCGTTGCTGAAGCGCCGCAGTATCGTCGGGCCACACGATGGTAAATTGGTACTTATCACTCCGTATGCCGCCGATGCCAAAGGTCGTATTTATGTCTGGCATTACAACAACCTTGCGAGGACGTCCGAATTCAAACGGAAAGGCGTCGTTGCCCACCGTCTGGGTGGTCTGGCTGTTGGATCTGTCGTACAACATGACGATGCCGGTGTCGGCATCGAGCTCGAACGAGCAATGCACTCTCGAGATGTTCTCGTCTGGGATGTAAATATCACCATCGCGGCCGATGGTGGCTAAAACGGTGGGATTCCCGGATTTGGACGCAACGTGCCCGATTCCAAAGACACGCGGCTCCCACAGAAGATGCTTATTTGAATCGTTCCCGGCCACCTCATAAGCAGCCCTATTCAGCGGGTTCAAAAAGAACAAGGCCAGTGATTGAGGCATGACTGCTGTTGTGCACTTGGCAAATGAGGAAATGAAGTTAGGAAGAGAGAACAGAAAATGTCAGGAAGCTGGCTTCAGGAAATAAAAGAGGACGATGCCGACGACGAAACGACGAAAGAGCTTTGCGGTCTCATATTTCTGGACCATTCTGCCATTCCTGGCCAGCATCCCCTTCTCTCCCCCCCCCAAAATAAAGGCTGCCAAAGAAGCCGTGACAGCCAATCGTTTGAGGATATTGGGAGTCATGTCAAATAACAAAGACTCCAGCGCGTGCGGTGGGTTGTATGAAACAGTGAAGCCGCCGGGGCTGATAATGCACGGTGACAGTGTTTCTAGAGTGGAAGTTGGAGCAGGTCCGGCCAATAGACGTGGAACTAATGCCTAAATATATGCGGGATTCAGCGGCTACAGATGCACACAGCTATTAATAAACAGAAATACCCTGGTCACGACGCGTCAAGCGGCCTCCCTGCTAGGAAAAAATATGGGTGTGCACTGTTCGTGACCAAGAAATCATTATGAAAAAGGCGTTTAAGTTGTTGACTATAGTAGTGAGCAAACTATAAGGTACTTGGTGTCTTCGAAAAGACAAGACGAAAAGCGCCCTCTCTAAGCTTCAAAACGGATAGCCCCGTAACACGCGCGGCTGGGCCCAGGAGTTCCCGAGACACGCTAGGCTGTTACCGAACACGTGTGCTCGCCGCTCCTTTATTTCTTTACCAGCGGATCTCAGCTGTCGCTGTGCGCATTCCCTTCGTTCCCAGATACCGCCCACCGCCCGCATACGTCCTCCGTTTTCTCACTTCCTCCTCCCCTCTCTCGGTCGATGTCTCGACAATATTGCATACGTCGCCTCACAATACGCGACGAAAGTCGCAAAGAAATCCACCGCGGCCAACTCGCTCAATATGCTGGGCCTTCACAGAGCCGACGCGGCACTTCGTGCGCTCATCAACGACCCGGACCGCCTCGACAGCGAACGCGACGCCCGCTTCGACCAGTCGCCGCCGCCCTACCAGGAGCGCGAATCGCTCCCGTCGACACTTCCCCCTGACTCGCCTCCCGAGGAGGACGAACAGCACGAACGACTCAGTGACTGGTTTATGCGCATTTTGAGGGGGTGGGGGGCGTCGATGCCCACCAACCAGTTTCGGCATGAGGTCCAAGCAGAACGCAGAAAACTTATGGAGCCAGGAGACGATACGCACATCCACTGGAACACGGCGAATGTGGCCCGGGAAACAGTAAAGGCGCGGTGGCAGGCCTGGGGCATATGGGAGCCTCGCTGGGAGGTCGAACCGCACGGTCATTGGCGACACCAAACGCCGCTTTCGCCCGAGCCGCTCACCGATCTAGACACGGACGACGAAGACCACGAAGACGTCTACTACAGAGAAGACGCGAGGAGCAACCTGTTTGGCATCAAGAAGATGCCATCGCGGGTGCGCACCGGGTACGAACAGGAGGAGGCGGAATTGCGGCAGAGGGCGCGTATGGCCGAGCGACGCTACGAGCACGACCGCACCAGGCCCTTGCACGTGTTCTTCTGCCATGTCGCGTACGAGGGCGAACGACTTTTCGACAGCGAGCAACAGCCAGAGCAAGAGCCACCAGAGCAAGAGCAAGAGCAAGCCGGGCGACCGGACGACACCCGCGTGGCCGTCGACATCCACACAGCCGCCTACCAAAGGGTCAAAGCCCAGTGGTCGGAGCGTGGCATCTGGAACGACCAATGGGGCGTCCTGCCCGGCATGACATGGAAACACGAGGCGTCGCTACAGTCGGTCGTCTCCGACGAAATGGGCGACGCCAACATGGCTCAGCTGTCGCGCGTCTTGTTCGACAGCATGATGGAATGCGAGCCAAATCGCCCGCCGCCCCAGACCAGCCGAGGACGCCGACGTCGGCGACGTCGGCGGGTCGTCGTGGAGGAGAAAGAGGTGGTAGAGCAAAAGCCGCTGGTCTTTATTCCCGATGAACGGTTTCCGAACATCTTTGGTCCCCGTTTTGCTGCACCTCCTCCCGCAGTGCAAGCCACTGAGGACACAGAGGACCCAGAGGACGCCGATGACGCCGATGACGCCGATGACGAGATCGGCGAGCCAATGACAGCAGCGGGCAAGCGGACAAGCCGGATAGCCGGCCGGCAGGCCAGGACCCAGGCCAGCAGACGGGCCAACGGGCAGATGGCCGAGGTGCCAACTGCTGATGAGCAGACAGCCGACGACGTCGCTGCGGGCCCCGCAGATACTGGCCCACGAGCAACAGCGCTGCGGCGGCGGAGCAGTCGTATTAGGGAAAAGGGGCCAGCGGCAGCAGCTGTGATGACTGACATTCCCGGCACACGCAAGCGGAAACGGGATGTGGCAGATTCGGTTCCGCCAGGAGAAACAGCGACCAAGAAGGTAGCGGCAGGTGGCAAAAAGGAGCAAAAGGGAAACAAGGGAAACAAAGGAAAGAAGGGAAGGAAGGGCCGAAAGGGGGGCAAGTAAGATAAAGGGCGGCTCTTTTCACACTCTTGCTTTCTTTGTTTTTTTTCTTCATATTCGCATTCATAGCCAACATTTTTTTGCAGCAGGAATAAAATCAACGACATTGAACCAAAGGTTTCGACTGGCTATTTGATGACGCCCTCACTTGTACTCCGTACGGGGGATTCGACAGGGCTTCCCTGGTTAATTTAGCCAGGCCCGACTAGCGTGTATAGGCGCGGCCCGCGCCTGGCCGCCGCCAGCCGCCAGGGCCTTTGCCAACTGTCAGGTAGTCGCAGACCCTCTCACTTGGCATTCGCCAGGAGTACCACAGTACTACGCAATCTCTTATTTGGCCACCAGCCTCCACGCCCCTTATTTCTAAGTGCCTTCTCCGTTAATTCACCAGGGAATCAACGGTGTTTCTTCAGCTAATAATAGAAGCCCATCCCTCTCGAGAGGCGGAGGGTTAGATTTTACACAACCTACAACCTACGTTTTGTCTGTGTTGATTCCTGGTTGTCTCTCTCTTGAGTAACGCATTATCTCTAGGCCTCCTGACAACTTGTGCTTCACCTGCAAATAACTCTAACAAATAAAAGCGAGCAGAGCATATACTTCTTTTCCTTATCTACTCATTTCTCCATGACACAAGGGCTAGGTGGTAGGACCGTCATTTTCGTCGTGCATTTGATTTTGTCTTCGGGGTAGTCACCCCAGAACTAAGCTATCAGTACAACAGAGCATTTCTTTGTAAGCGAGGAGGACGCAATACGTTACCTGTGCCACATGTTGTCGGATGCTATGAGCGTTGCGCCCGGGCTGGATTTGTCCAACGAGTCCTGGCTTGTCGGACTCTGTTCGTCTCGGGACAATCATGGGACGGCCAACAACGCATTCGAGGGTAAGTAGAGCGAATCCAAGCGCCTCTTTGGCGCCGACCGGGATTCCGATCTCGGAGATGAGTGCAATCCGTGTATTTGGCAGCCGTTCACGCAGATAGTTGACAATGTTGGGGTTGTACGACCCGCCGCCGCCCATGTAAATCTCGTCGACACCGCCTTCCGGGCCCCAACGCTCGTAGGCGTCGGCCAGTGCCTGGGCGGTAATGCGGGTAATGGTTGCGACGCAGTCGTCGGGGGTGGCGCCGGCTGTACACTGTCAGATCCGTTTCACGAATACATGAAAAAAAGAGACCCAAACTCAAAACAATAGACTGTAAGTCAACAACATCAGGAACAGGACCTACTCTTCATCATCTCATCACATATGTCCTCGGCCATGCGGTCACCAAATGTCTCGCGGCCGGTGGTCTTGGGAATGTCGTGCACAAAGTAGGGCCCTTGCAAGACGCGGTCGACAATCGCCTGGTCGACGCGGCCGCGCGCACCCATTGCGCCGTCCCGGTCGTATTCCTGCGCGCCCTTGGTAAAGTAGCGTACAGCGGCGTCGATAAAGACGTTTCCAGGGCCCGTATCGAAATCGTAGCAGCCCTCAACGTCGCCGCGCGGCAGCACCGAAAAGTTGGCGATGCCGCCAATGTTTTGCACGGCGCGGTTCAGTGTCGGATGGCCGCCCAGCAGGAGCGAGTCCAGCGCAGCAAACAGGGGGCAGCCCTGCCGGCCCAGCGCCATGTCGGAAACGCGGAAGTTGCCGAGCGTGGTGACACCCGTCTTGGCGGCCACCACAGCCGGCTCGCCCATGTCCAGGTGCGCACGGATGGCGTCGGCAACGCCCTCGGCGGCGGCCAGCTCCGGCAAAGGCAGATGCCAGATGGTCTGGCCCTGTCCGCCAATGAGGTCGACGTCGCTCGCGAGACTGAAGCCTTGGTCCTTTGCAAATCGCGCCGCGGCGTCGGCAATCACGTCGCCGAGCTGCACGTTCACGACGGCCAGCTCGGCAGGTGTCGTCTTGTTCTCCCGGATCAGCCGCAGCACGCGCTGCTTGACGGCTGGCGGCATGTCGTACTCGCCATAGTGCAGCAGCTGCATCTGGAGGGGCGCTTCCGGCCCGGCCTGCAAGAAATGCACGTGAACGAGGTCGACGCCGTCCATGGACGTGCCCATGTTATGGCCAATGACTTTCAGGGAGCTGACAAGAGAGCGTCAGCGGTCAGCTATCTCGGTGGGGGGCAATGAGAGTGGACGAAAGGAGCCGAGGAAACGTGCGAACGTACAGAGGACCTCCCCAGCGGTTGTCAGAAGTAGAACCCATCGTGGAGAATGTAGGCGGCTGTTGTATCAGGTTTGGGGAGGCTGCTTTTGCAATGCTCGGTTTTACTGCTTTCGCAGCAGTTGTTCTCGAATATGACTTTCCTAGCAATGGCCGGTAACCCTTGGTGTTGTGCGTTATCCCCCCTTTTGTTTTGGCTATGAAAAAGTAGAGGCCATCATTTTATACTTGTTGCCACTGTAACAAAAAGGAATATAATCTTTGAAGCTCCCGATGCTAAAACGGTCAACATTTACTAAATCTACCAACGGGGCAAACTGCCTTCCCGGGTGGCCTTCTCGTGTCGTAGAGCGATCGTGGCGGTCTAGTTCTTCAACAAAGAACGTACTCCGCATTCCGTACTTCCCCACCGAGTTCCCTTACTGTTCTAAACCAACAATCTTCAATGGGACAAGCTGCCTTCCTCAAACAAGAGAACTGCTACGAATAGGTCCCACGCTTAAGTTTGAAACTAGTTCCAGATTCGGAGCAGACTGCCTTCCTGGCTGGGCTTGCAAACCCCGATGACCCGGCAGCCCGGTTTCTGAACTAGACCCCGACGTCTCCACTTGGAGCAAGGATGGGCAGCGCTGGTATGCCAACCTGTAGATGTATTTTATACATCTTTGTGGAGATGGTGCGGAAACAGCAACCCGAAAGTCGATGGCAAACTGGACATGGCAGTTATTCCCGAAGCAGGGAAGTCAGACCCGAGTAGGGGGCAGAGCCCAGGACGACGTATTGCCTACGTATGGAAGTTGTTCGTCTACAATTCCCCTGCCACTTTGTTGATACATTTCAACCCCAGAGAAGAAAAACGCGGAGTAGAAAAATGCGGAGTGAACATTGGCAGCAAGTTTGACAGGAGAGAAGACAAAGAAGAAATCAATAGCCTCCCCTTCCAATCGTCCACGCGCATCCCCTGTCGTTTCTTTTTTGGAGCATCATTTGCCAAGTCGCGTGCAAGGAAAACACTGGTCTCACTACGCGCTGGCCGGATGGGTGGCATTCAGATCGTCTATATAAGATCGCCAACCCGGTCGTCAGACATACTTTGATTGCTGCAATTCCAGTGGCTGCGACCTCACTCTTTGCAACATTGCCATCCACTACACTTGCCACCATGCTGCCTCTGACACCGTACACTACGACCATGGGTCTCAGCGGCCTGAAGCTCAACCTGGCGGTAGCTTTCATTGCCACATGCGCCTTTTGGCTGTTTGGATACGACATGAGCGTCATGGTGAGACCGCATCCTGTCTTTTACCCGCACGACGAACAGACATACAGACATACTGACCCGCATCGGTCCATCTCCCAGGGTGGCGTCATCACCGAAGAGCCATTTACCTCCGTCTTCCCTGAAATGAACGTGCCGCTGACCCAGGGCATCGTGATTGCTGCGTTTGAGCTGGGTGCGCTCGTGGGCGCCCTGGCCTGCCTGGACGTCGGCGACCGTCTGGGACGCCGGGCCACGGTGTGGTTTGGTATGCTCTTCATGCTCGTCGGCGGCACCCTCCAGACGTCGGCGTGGCATGTGGCGCAGATGGTGACCGGCCGCGTCATCAGCGGCATCGGCCTCGGTCTGCAGGTGGCCACCGTGCCGTCGTGGCAGGCAGAGTGCGCCAAGCCGCACAGCCGGGGCCGCTGGGTCATGATCGAGGGCGGTCTGCAGACGTTTGGCGTCGCGTGTGGACAGCTGATTGGGTGGGGCTTCTACTATGTGCGTAGACAGGCCCAGTGGCGCATTCCCGTCGGCATCCAGCTTGTCCCGGCTCTCATTGTCTTTGTATTTATCAACTTCCTCCCCGAGTCGCCGCGGTGGCTCATCAAGCACGGCAAACTGGACGAGGTGCGTTATTGCTCTGTGACACCCGACAACCTGCCATCCTACGACCTGCTCACCTAGCTGACTAGCTGACTCTTTCTTCTTCTCCCCCCCGCATAGGCAACGTACAACCTTGCAAAGCTGCGCGGCCTGCGCGAGGACGATCCGGCGGTGCAGGACGAGCGCGCACACATTGTCGCCTCCTTCGAGGCACAGGCGAAGCTGGCCCCCTTTGCGTACCGTGAGCTGTGGCAAAACGGCCCGTCCAGGACGCTGTACCGCGTGGCCATTGGCGTCTTTATCCAGTCGGCGCAGCAGCTGAGTGGCGTCAACTTGGTGTCGACGTATGCCAACAAGATCCTGCAGGAGTCCTTTGACCTCGACGCCGGCCTCGCCCACATGATTTCGGCCATGGGCGGCTTGGAATACGCGCTGTGCTCCCTGCTGTCCGTCCTGCTGATCGAGGGCCTCGGCCGCCGCCGCGCCTTTCTGTTCACCGCCACGGGCATGGCCGTCTGCTTCTGCGTCATTGCCGGCCTGCAGAGCACGGCGGTGCGGGCCAACCAGCTGGCCGCGGCCGGCTTGCTCTTCCTCTTTAACACCTTCTTTGGACTGGCCTGGGTCGGCGGCCCGTTCTTGTACAGCGCCGAGATTGCGCCCCTGCGCTGCCGTGCCCAGGCCAACGCTCTGGCCAGCGCCGGCAACTGGCTGTTTTGCTTCATGGTCGTCATGATTATTCCGCCGGCCTTTGCCAAAATTGGCTGGAAGACGGTAAGCCCGCTGTACCTGCCCGCTCTACCCGCCCGTTGTACCTTGGACAGTTCTTTTTTCGTTTCGGTTGCACTAACAACCTCGTTCTTTACACAGTACATTATCTTTGCCATCCTCAACGCCCTGTTCGTCCCCATCATCTATTTCTTCCTCGTCGAAACCAAGAAGAGGAGCTTGGAAGAACTTGTAAGTCACTTTGCGTATGGCGAATCATCATGGGGCCAAATTGTGTTTTGCCAAGTTACTGACGAACAGGATGTTGTCTTTGCTGCGGGTGGCAACCCCGTCAAGAAGGAGAAAGCATTGCCCCATAACATTCCCATCGAGGAAGCGTGCCAAATCTTTGGCCTGGTGAACGGAGTCGATGTGACCGAGGTGTCCCCTGAGGACAAGGCGTCGGTTTAAGAGAGGCTGAGGTTTGGGGTGTAGGTTACACAACATCCAACTAGTTCCTAAAAAGCGGTTGAACGACAGGAGCATTTTAAATGTTGCACAATTGGACAGTACTGCGATCAATTGACCTATGAGCTGGTGAATGCCAGGGCTGTTTGAAATTAGATCCCAGGCGACTGCTGCTACGCTGATTTACGTATCTCTCTAGTTGGAATATATACGGGAGATGAAAAGATGTGCATTAGAGGAGCTTAAGGGGACTGGACAACTGAGGTTTTTTTCCTTCCGGGGCCGTTGTAAATTGTACGTTCAACATTGGCAGTCGCACGTGAGACTATACGCGCCGATTAATAACGCAAACACGACCAAAGTGGCATATTTGTCACCATTCACTTTTAATTAAGCTCTGCTTTTTCCTTTGTCTGTTTCGGCGTTGGTATTAACTTTTTTAAGGTGGTCACTACTTTCAGAGCTTGATGGCAGGCTAAACCAGTTTGGCATACGTCCCTTTATTCTGCTAGCCTTGTTTTTCCCCAGAACTCGTTTCTTCTTATTCTTTTGCCAAACTTCACTTAGGACGACCAACTTGTTTTCCTAACAACCTTGTACGTTGCCACCACCACACCATGTCATCCTTCCCAACTGCCATATCAAAGTATATCCGTGGGCCTAGCTCACGGGCCAAACGAGGTGGGTTTCTTTCTTTCTTTTTTTGCTTGTGCTTTGTCTTTCACCTTCTTTCGTTTCCCAACTGACCGCCAAAGCTTGTAACCAATGCCGTGACAGCCATGTGCGCTGCGATGGCAGCCAGCCCTGCGCCTTCTGCAGGCAACGGAACACCCCGTGCTCATTTCGGACGGAGCCACTGTTCACTGCCAACGAGTGGAACCCTGAGAGCCTTATGCTGCCACCCCTGTCGCCGTCACAACACACCCTGCGGGCTGCGATGTCAGGCTGTAAGTGGATATTGCCGGATCATGATGGATCAAGAAACGTCGGTGTCGCCCCGATACTTTGCTGACACAGACACCGTAGTTGACTGGGTCGACGAGACGGACAGTGTTGCCGACCTCTACAAACGTGTAGATGTCGATGCCGATGCGGATGCGAACCAAAACAACCTCTCTTCGAAACTGTCGTTGAAACTAACCGCTAAACTTCCATCCAAAATGCCATCGCCTACGCACCACCCACACACCACAGCCGGCCTGCCGTCGAGCATGCCTCTGCCGCGGCCCATCACCGACCCTACAGACGCGTTTTACATGTCGCGCTACGCCGAGTTCATTGGCCCTCGCTTTGACCTCTTTGACGATGGCGCTCGGTATTTTTCCATCGAGGTACCTCTAATGGCTCTCCACAACCGTCTGTTGCGTCTCGCCTGCCTCGCGGCGGCCGCCGTCCAGTTGTCGCTGGAGACCGGCCGGGGCAAGCACAATGTGCTTGCCTACTACGACGAGGCCCTGCGTCTGCTCTCTGCTCACCTCGATTGTCCGAGCTACGACCCGGCCGTCTTTGCGAGCTGTCTGCTCATCGCCCACTGTGAAATGGTGGAGAGCAAGACAGGCGACTGGCAGCTCCATCTGCGCGGCACCGGTGACCTCGTCGCCCTGCAAAAGTGGCACGGCCGCAGCGGTGGCTTGGCCGAGGCGGTACGTGATTCCTCCCCATCCCCATCCCCATCCCCATTGCAGCCGGGAACGTCCTGTTTCTGCCATACTCTTCTCAATAACACTGACGCCCTTGCACATCCACGGATCGACTTTACCTCCAGTGCTTCTGGATATATTGTCGCATGATGATCTTAGCATCTCTCTCGTCCGCTCGCCCCACCCTCATCCCTCCGACAGAATGGCTCCCTGGCGGCGTCTTCGACGACCCGCAGCGCTGGACGCTGCACGCCTGGCAGAAAAAAGTTGTCTTCCTTTTGGGCAGCGTCCACCACTTCTGGTTCCGCAGCCGCCACGGCCAGACCAGTGCGCCGCTGGAGTCGACGATGCGCCGCGCCTGGTCGGACCTCGGCGACCAGCTGCGCCGCCACGAGCTAGCGGCTCCGCCCGCCTGCACTCCTATCAGCGCCGTGCCCGCCACCGTGGACTGCCCGTTTGACCTAGTCCGCTACATCGCGGGCCCCATTTCCGCTGCCTGGCAGATGCTGCATACCGCGCACCTGCTCCATGCTCTCGCGGAGCCCCCCGGCACCGGTACGGGTCCCGATACCGATACCAATCCCCGGAGCCGACGGGCTCTTTTGGCGTCACCACGTGTCGCCAACACGGCCCTCGCCCTGGCGCGCCAGGTTGTGAGCAATTCACTCGCCAACCGCAGTCTTGTGGCGTGGGCCAACGCGGTCCAGCTGCTTGGCGTCGCCGGCGCCTGTCTTGTCAGCGACGCCGAGCGAGACGCGTGCACCCTGGTCCTCGAGCAGATGGAGACGCTGACGGGCTGGAACACCCGCACCACCGTCCAGCACCTTCAGCGCGCTTGGCTCGCCGGTGGAACAGACCTGGGCACGTTACTGTACAATGTATGGGCAAATGAAGGTGTAGGGACCGAAGGTACATGATGAAGAATGAAGAAATGCGGTATCGGACGTCAATGTTCGTTGTAGTTGCATTGTTGTGGGCAGATAAACAGCACTTCATTGATTCGTACGTCGTTCCAAATGCAATTGCAAATCTAGTATACTAATACAGTGGTATGGTCCGGTTGCAGATGTGCCCGTGGTAGATGAGCCGGTGCAAAAAAAAGCCCTACGCCGGGTCCCGTCCCCGACTGGCCGCAATTGTTTCCTTTTTCTTTGTCTCAACAACGCGACAAATGGTCATACATCCTTGCCACGCACGAGGTTTCGTTCACTGCCTTCACGGCTCGTCTTCCCATCCCCGTCGTCGAGAATCTCAAACGTGTGCTGTACGTAGATGTCGCGGTCGTTGCTGCCCGACGGGTTGCGGCCGGTGCCGGACGCCGTGGCTTTGCGGTTGAAGGAATTCATGCCAAACGCATCGCCACGCTGGCTGTTGGGGCCATAGCCGGTGCCGCGGCTTCTGTTGCCGCTGTTGCCAGAGGATCCGAGCAGCTTGGGTGCGATCCGGGACACGAATGGCTTGAGGGCGGGCGCAGACGCGCAGATGATGGCGACATTGATCTCGATGTTCTGTCTTGTTAGCGACTCCGGACGACGGTCAACGACAAAATGCAGGTGGGCGTGGACAACTTACGCTCCACATGGCGATATCGACACCGGCAACTGCGAGGAAGGACTGTTAGCAACGGCAAGGAAATAATTTATGCGTGATACAGTAATCGTGGTCCACTTACATGTTGTGTCTGGAGAGACCGAGATGGACAAGAGAGAGCGGAGACGAATAATGGATGTGATGCAAACACTAGGAGGGAAGCAGGATTAGCAGGTTGCCAGCACGCGATGACATAAAATGAATGTCTGGTGTGCAACGTACACTGTGCCAAAGGCGAAGATGACCATGAGAATGACCTTCTGGCGCGTGGGAATCTGAAGGCCCTTGATCAAGGGCATGGGGAGAAGAATAATGGCAATGTCGGTCGCAATGTTGATCGAGGCGTTGGAGAACCAGAAGGCGAGCTTGTTGAGGCAGTGGCCTTCACCCACGCCCCAGAAGTACTGGACGGGGACGCACATAAAGACCGAGCCGAAAAAGGCCCAGCAGCCGTAGATGCCCAGGAAGATGAGGAAAAAGAAGCAGATCCGCTGGACAATGGCCACAGCGAACACATGCTTGTACTGGAAGATGATGGACAGCTTGCTGAAAATCAACGACAGATTGTAGACGGGAATCGTCGCCCAGAGGCACTGCGAGGCCGCCGGCGTCAGTACTTTGTCCGGGTGCGGTCGGCGAGTTGGCGACATCGGGACACGGGCCTACCTGGAAGAACTTTTCGAGGTGCTCCTCGGGAACGTCGCCGATGTGCTGGCCAAGGCCGTACTTGACCTCTGAAGGGATGTCAGCACAACACCAAGCAGAATGGGTCGTATGAACAACATGCAGTGCACTTACGAAGCATCTCGACGGTAAGAAAGCCAATGGAAGCAGCCTGTCAATGGGGCCTGTCAGCAACACAGCAAAATGCTGATTGTGGGAAAGATCACCACATGTCATGGGTATGTTCGTGATCCTGATCGTGGGGCACCGATGCTACGATGTCGATGCAACGATGTCGACGCAACGATGTCGACGCAACAAAGAGCCAACGAACGAAGCATTGTCCATCTGGCGAGGACCCGGGAACATCGAGGGCGGTTGGAACGCAATCGAACGGAAAGGGACGCAAAACGCACCAAGGAAACAACAATCAAGTAGTCCTCAACGCTCACAAGCCGGACGATGTGGCTCCGCGTGTACAGGCGAAGAAGGACCACGAGAAAGCTCAGAGCCGCGAAGAAGTTGCTCGTAATCACGACATGCTGGACAACTTGGGGGCCGAACATGTTGCCTGGATTGGGGGGGATCGGTCTTTGCGTGCTGTTTGGCCCCGGATCTGTGCAACGCTGCTGTTCGAGATGTGATCTTTGACGAGACGGGAGAGTTCAGAAAGAGTGACGATCGAGGACGGACTCGGAGACGAAAGGCGAAGGCGGTGGTCGGCTCTAATACTCCTGATTCGAGAGGCAGCGAGCTAGCTGGTACGGAACCCGTTCCAACCTTCTGGATCTGGAAGTCACACTTGGTTGCAGTCTCCGTCGATACCACGATTTGAGCAGAACCAAAAGTTTCGACGACCTGGAATCTGCGTTTCTTCATGTTAAATTGTGTGCCTTTTCTTGCACCTGCAGTACTAGATACCACCCAAGACAAGGAGGGGCGGAAACTTGAACATTGGAGCCGATGGGCCCCTGTCAAAATCAATGTGTACGAAGTACTTTGTCAGATGCATTTCGTACTCTGCATGTTGCAATACGGTTTCCAGGCCAGGCCCAACAATCAAACTGGCCCGGTCACGAAAAAGGGGGGTGGGGGCGGACCTATCCTCCCATCCCCTGATTTTTTTGACTTTCTGGGCGCTGTGTCAGTGTATTGTAAGATAGCATGCAAGTGACTGATCCAGTACAATGTACAATTCTTGTGTACATATGCGGCAGGGGTACTTTTGTACATACATCGTACATGTACGGACAAAAGGCTTTACAAAATACTCCATGTGGGCGACAACCGATTGGCAAAGCGAGGCAGCTTACGTCGATACGACAATCATTTCTCAAGAAGGATGTAGGAGCGGGGGCCATTTATGGGTCTTCACCAGGATGCATTCAGGGGCCATCCCCAACTTGGTATCTTGCCAACTACTACACTACGGAGGACACCCAGACACGTACATGTGCCACCGCACGACATCCATGTTTGGATGCTCCCACCCTTGACAAAAAGAGTCCAAGACTATGGGAGGGATTTAGACTGATAACGAGTGGGTACAGTGCAAGGACTACCCTTGCCTCCAGCTGCTACGTTCGCCCAGGGGGGATAAAATCGGAAACAAAAGAAAACTTAAGGCTATGAAGAGGGTCATAGAAAAGGCGATGTAGGGGCAAGTTCCAGAAGTCCAGAAGGGAGTGACATTGGCCAGGCGACATTTTCGATTTAAAATCTGACTGCGATATCCACGCAAGGCTATGACTGTTTTGGGACGCCGTGCGACCAGTTCCTTGGCCTGTAAGAGATTTGCGATATTTTTCTTCCCGTGAGCCGTCTTCAAAACAGGACAATTCTTTCCTGGGACGCCTCCATGGACACGTCGATCTTGGGCGTTGTTTTGATTTCCGTTTCCTTTTCCCATCTTCGCCAGATCAGTTAACGATCTTCCAATCCGTTCAGCCGTCTTTATTTTATTTTATTTTATTTCTTGCGGACGAGGTAACAATTGCAAATATGCAGTTGCTACTTAATCCTTCCCTACCCCTGAAAGTTGGCCAATGAGCCGAATCGCTACAATACTGGCTTGCCTGCACGAATCCGGAGTGAAAATATCCTCGTGGGGTTGTATGTGATACTTTGCAGAACCTCTGGAGGCCAGCTGAATGCACCTTTCGTTGCCACAACTGCAATTAGACTCGCCAAGTTCCCGACAAAACGACAAGGCGATACAGATACCCGTTTTGTCGTCCGCTGCGTGGCTTGCAGCGATTGCTGTCTTACAATCGGGAATTATGAGTTTTCCACGCTGAGCTGCGAATGCGCCAACTCGCATTGCTCAACGGCAAAACACCAAAACGCAACAGACCGGAGCAGCACCTGAACTTACCCGGTCTCGCACAGCGCTAGTGCATTGTTCAGTGGACTAGTTCTGTTTTAAGAATGGAGGACGCTGCAGACACCCCACGCCCCCATTTCAGCTCTGTTGAGCTCACTAGCCAGACCAACCCAGACCATCAGCCAAAGCGAGCACGTACTTTCGGAGCTGTCTTCCGCGAGCGAACAAAGTATGGTACTGGCACATCCTACGCTGTTAGAGTCCAGCGGCCATGCGAGTCCTTGCAACAGTGTGGCAGGGACAGGGACAGAAACCAACAGCCTGGTGGCCGGAGTGATTATCTGGTCGGCCGAGACACAATTGGCAAGGCCCTCGGAGGGCCAAGGACAAAAGGCCTAGTACATGGAGCAGGGGTAACAGGATCAAGATCACCCCTGTAAACTACTTAACTTTGGGAATTTTCGCATAAACCTAGCAGGCGAATCCACCCTGGTCCACCTTTTTCGCCGCAGTGGATGCGCTGTGGATGCTGCCGTCCACTAAAATCCGCACACTAGGAGACCAGGTCTGCGCTAATGCTGCGCGCTTTGACTAAAGCCACGGTCGAGGCTAGTCGCAGACAACAGTGTAAAGGGGCTGCAACGTTCCGCCATCTTTTGTTGCTGTTTTTGCAAGGGGACAGAGATGCATGTACCCTACGAATCTCCTGGCGTACGAAGTAGACCTTGGGATATTGTCACTGCACCGTTTCGCCTTCCCCTTGTTTTACTTTACGCGGCCCTTCATTTATCTCTCCTTTTTATCTAGATATCTCTTTTTCCATCTGCCTGCCGGCGGCAGCCGCCGGAGCGAATCCAATAGTACATCAAGGAGCCATTGAATATTCACGAAGAAAGCCGTACAAGTCACCAAATACAACGACAACAACGGCAGCAACGGCGGGGTTCCGTCGTTTATATCGAGTAATAAAAAGGGGTATACCATGTTTTGGCTAGCTTGGTTGGAATACTTGGTACAACATACAAATGGAAATACTAGGCTGTAGCACTCTGTAAAAATGTCTCGATTGGCAGACTACCCCGGTACAAGCCCCCACTTAGTGATACAAGTCCTCGGCCTTCTCGGCCGGAGCATCAATGTGGTTGTTGAACTCCTTCTTGGGGTCAATCAAGAAAATGGCAGCTGAAAAAAGTCAGTTTGCAGTCCAATGGCACACCGTATTGTAGTATACGAAAGAGGAGTGTGACTTACCAATGGCGGCAACAACTGTAAACGAGCCAGCCGCAACCCACACCCAGCGGAATGCGACACTGTACGTGGACTTGAGCGCACCAACGGCCGCGTTAATGATATCCGGCGAGATGCCCGGCACAGCAAGCAACGCCGTCGTGTCCTGGGCCGCAAGAGCACCGATCAAGGCGCCCAGAGATGTCTCCGGCAGGCCGAGGGGAAGGACGGCACCGGCAATGTTGGCTCCGAGGTTCTTGTTGAGTTCTCCGGAGAGAATGGCATTGTCTGTTTCGTTAGTTCTGGCTTTTGGATTGTTTGGATTGGCTGGATTGGTTGGAGTGGTGGACGGTCTTCTACTTGGTGTCTTCCTGACCCACCAAGGACAACTTACAAATAGCGAGGCCGATCGAGCCACCGAGCGAGCGCATGCCGATCATGAGGCCGCTGGTAATTGCGATAAGCTCGCGGGGCGTCGAAAGCTGGGCAACTGTCACCAGCGCACAGAGGCAAATGCCAAGTCCCAGGCCCAAGAATACCGGGTAGCCCCAAACGTTGCGCGCGCTGGTGGCCGACGGCGTCGCCGTGGCCATGAGAATGAAGAAGATGACCATGGACACGAACGCAGCAAAGGCCGGCCAGCGCACGTTTTTGGTTTTGGAGCAGTAGAAGCCGGCAAAGATGGCGCTGACGCCGTACACAATCATGTTGATCGTGTAGCGCAGACCGGTGCGCAGCGAGTCCGTCTCGTAGAGCACGCTGGCTTCGTAGGCAAAGTAGTTGTTGGCGGCAAAGAAGACGAGGCCTTCCACAAAGACACAGCCGAGGGCAATGGCAAAGTTGCGGTGCGTAAACAGGTCGTGGTGCAGCATGCCGTCTTTCTTAAAGAAAATCTCGTAGACGATGAGGCCGATGAGCAGGGCCAGGCCGACAGCGAACGTGGCAGACGTGTGCGGGTCCGACCACGGGTACGGGTTCTGCGACCACGACAGGCCGATGCAGAACAGCACCAAGCTGGAGGACAGCAGCGCGTAGCCGATCCAGTCCAGCTTGGCCAGCTTCTCGCTGTTGGTGAAGTTGAGCTGGTTGGCCGTCTTGGGCGGCGTGTACAGCACGGCCGTGAGGATCGTGGCGACGGCAAAGACGGCCGTGGCCATGTACCAGTAGTTGCGGAAGCCGGCGGCGTTGCCGTTGCGCGTCATGGCACCGCCCACCAGGAGCGCCACGACGCCACCCAGGGCGGCCGACAAATTGGCGGTGCCCTGGGCCCACGGACGGTACCGGCGCGGCAGGACTTCCGAGGCCACGGCATGGAGCAGCGGCTGGGCGCCGTACGCAATGCCCGTCACGGTGAAGCCTGCAATGGCCATGCCGACGCTGTTGGCGCGGGCCACGACGATGGAGCCAACAACACCGCACAGCGTGAGGACAATGAGGAACCAGCGACGGCCCCAGTAGTCCGCCGCCTGGGACACGACCGGCGACAGGACGCTTGTCAGGATGGCAATTGTCGACGTCAGCCAAACACTGTTGGAGGCGCCGCCAACAACTTGAACGACCGTTTGGGCTTGCTATGGTATATTGGGTTAGAAAACACGTTTTCGTCACATTGTGGTCGCTGGAGGCCACTTACAGCACCGGCGCCGACGACGTTGACGAGCTGCGCAAAGTAGATGAAGCAGACGGCAAACACGACCAAGAATGTCTTTGCGTGCAGCTGCGGTGCCGGCTCGTCCTCGACGGACGGCTCAGAGCTCTGCGCCGACTTGGGTAGTCCATCTTGCGATGCATCGGCAGGCTGGTCCGTCTTCTCGTGGACGACCACGCTGGAGTCGGCGGTCGCGGTTGGATCAGCAGACGCCATCGCGACTCAAACAAAAGACGACTTTGCAGATGCAGACTCGGGAAAGGCAAGGGGTAGGCAAGAGTTGGGGCCAAAAAAAAAAAACCAAAGAAGAAGAAAAAAGAAAGACGAAAAGAGCAAACGAAAAAGAAAAGCGGAAACAAAAGCAAGACAGCGATTCTAAAAGGAGTGTAAAAAGCAAAAAGAAGGAAAGGATCAACAAAAAGCATGCACAACAGCCGGGGGAAAAACGTGGGCAAAACGTGTGGGAGAACGTGCAGCTGCGAACAAAGATGGGGTTTCTCTCATTTCTTAAGAAAAAAAAAAAAAATATGCCCAATAAATCCGGGTCCCAAATCAAACCCAGCACCAGCAGCAGCCCAGCACCTTGCCACGTTCTTGGCGTTGCACGGATTTCTCGACGGTCGTGCAAATCTGGCAGGCAAGACAATGTGCGCCGGGTCATGGAGTGCCGAGCTGCAATGTAGTATTTCGCTGTCCGAGTCTGCAACGCTGAGAATGTCTGTGACATGTCGCATTCTTACCTTACACAAACAGCTGCAGAAGAGCGTCTCTCGAGAAGGATCCTCCGCGTGGGGTGCCACTCCCAGCGTAACTGTTGCACCAGTCGTATCTTACGAACCGGATGCACAGAAGCTGCCAGAGAAACAAATGATTACGGAGCCAATATTGGCCCAATCTGCTCAAAGCCTGTCGTGCCATTTGCTGATATTTTGTTTTTTCGTTATTTTGCTGCTGGGTATCGACTGCTCCACTCTATTCGCAATTTAGCGAGAAACATACTAACAGAACTCAGTATGAATGCTCGGAGAATAGCTCAGTCGTCGGTCGGGTGGCGCTGTTAGGACCTGAGGTGGGGAACAAAATTAGGGGGCCGGGGGGCTTCGAGAAGCTATTTGTCTTAGCGACAGGGGACGACGCGACTACGACGTTAGTGTGCGCTAGCAAAATGTCTCAGTAGAGTAGCAGCTTCCTTGGCCTAGAGCGAGTCGGCCCTGACAAGTACGTCGAGGTAAGCTGGCAAAATACGACTCCGTTCTCGTAGGCAAACGAGAGTGTTCTCGAGTAATTTGAATTCACCACCCCACTGAACGAGATAACGAACCCACTGTAGAACTGGATCTAGGCCTTGCAAGGCATGGTCGCCGACAAGCCCGCCAAACCCAGAATGCACTCATGCAGCATGCAATGTCCGGGCAGACTAATTCGTAAATGCTGCGTAAGTTCGGCCACGGTTTCCAGGGTTTCTCGGGTTTTCCTGGATTTGCTGTATTTCCTGGATTTCCTGGGACCTTGTCCAGAGGCCTTAAGGAACGCATTGGCGCTATTCTCGATTGACACAATGAGACGTGGAAGAACCAGGCTGCCACACTGTTGCTCGAATCCTGCCATCACAGAGTAAGACCAAAAAACAAACCATGGCACTGAACGTCGCGATCGTCGGCGGTGGCATCAGCGGGCTGTCGGCCGCCGTGTCGTTGCGCCGGGCCGGGCACAATGTCCAGGTCTACGAGCGCTCGGCTCATAACAACGAAGTTGGGGCGGCCATCCACGTCCCGCCCAACGCCGCACGGGCGTTGCTGGCCTGGGGATTGGACCCCGTCCACGCCAAGTTTGTCACCACCAAGTCGAGCTACCGTGCCCACGAGAAGACGCTGGTGCGCTTCCATACCGGCAGAGAAGTCGAAGAGCAGATTCCCATCCGCTGTGGCGCGCCCTGGTTTCTTACCCATCGTGTTGATCTCCACGAAGAGCTGAAGCGGCTGGCAACCGAGCCCGAGAGCCCCCAGGCGCCCGGCCGTCCCGCCCAGGTGGCCTTGCGTACCAAGGTCGTGAAATATGTACGTTGCCGTCGCGTCCCGTGTCCCGCGTCCGTGACCACTGATCGACGTCCGTGCGGCTGATTTTGAATGACTTATGACTAGAACACGGCCGACACGTCCATCACACTAGACAATGGTGACGTCGTCCAGGCCGACGTTGTCATCGCTGCCGATGGAATCTATAGCATTGCCGTCGAGGCCATCCTGGGCGAGCCTCGCCCCCTCGGAGCGCCGCAAAATGCGTGCTTCCGCTTCCTGATCCCGGCCGATGCGATCAACGCAGACCCAAAGACAAAGTTTTACACCGAGGACGACGACGGCCGCATGAAGTTCTTTGTTGGCGACGACAAGAGAATCGTGTCGTACCCATGCCGCAAGTACGTGTCGTGACTGTCCATCCCACCAGTTGTGTAGTCTACAACTAACATCTCCAGCAATGAAATCCACAACTTTGTGGCCATCTACAATACCGAGCACGAGACTCTCGACCTCTCGAAGAAAGAGAGTGCGTACTGTGTCTGACATGACCCGTTATCCGTGTCGTTTGTATGCCGTCTTTCTAACACCTGCTTCTCAGGCCGCCACTCACCCGAGGACAAGGCCAAGCTCCTCGCAAAATACTCTGATGTCCATCCAGACCTCTTTGCTGTTATCAGGTATGCCCCCTCCCCCCCGCTGTTGCTTCACACGTCCCATGTGGCTTTGCTCTGACAACGTGCAGCAAAGCGACCGAAGTCATGCAGTGGCCGCTCTTGTTCCGGCCTCCCATCCCGACCTGGACCAAGGGTTGCACCGCCCTGGCGGGAGATGCTGCTCACCCCATGCTTCCCCGTAAGTTCCATTTGGCTCGCATACAGAGTAGAAAGGGATGCGCCGCTCACTAACAGACAACAGACCAGGGACAGGGCGGTGCCCAAGGCATCGAGGATGGCGTCGTGCTTGGTCTTGTTCTTGTCGGAGCCACCAAAGAGACCGCAGCTGAGCGGCTCCGGTTGTACGAGAAGATTCGCCGCAATCGGGCCAGCATCATCCAGATCTTCAGCAATGCCGGCCAGGACCAACCCGAGCTCATCCGGAAGGATGCGTCTGCCTTTATGCCGGAAGATAAGATTCCCAGTACGTTGCGTCCACCGTGTATCGCCTCCCGGCTCACACTAACAAACCTTTTTGCAGAGCGCCCCGAAGACTTTTTCGACTACAACTTCCGCTACGACGTCATTGAAGACTCGGTCAGTCAGCTCAAGGAGCAATACCCGACGTTCGAACTGCCGGGCAACTTCTTCCAGAACACACCCGGCAAAATCCGTGCTTAACGCATGGAAAGATGCGTACTGTGACCTATAGTGAATCTTATGACAGCGTATTGATCCGGCTTGGGACACGACGTGTGCATAGTTTTAGTGGCAATGATGACTATTCGATGGGAGCGAAGCCGTGGTAGTAGACACTCTGCGGTGATAAGTCCCCATATGTTTGGTCGCAAAGTTGATGCCGTTAAGATCCCTGTATGAGTCTACATGAGGGCGGTTTCGAGTGCTGCTGTGTATCGTTTTATATTAGAATATCGCCTATGAAATGTAAAATGAACTTTTTATTTTTGAGATGAAATGAGTTATTGAAAAAAAAAAAAAATTCTAAACATTTTTCACACTTTATATTTTGACGAAAGCATATAAAAAATGAATTGTAAATTTGACTAAAAAAAAATCAAGATTATCGTGTCACGTAGTGTGAATACGAAATTTTGTAGGTTTATAGTTTTTACCTTAGTATTTACGATCATTTTTTAAACAAGAGACGGAAAGTAGAATAAATTGATATTATTGAAATCATATCGCAGACATGCTTTGTCGAAACATTCATCTGTGATCGGCAAAGTAATACCAAGAACGGTATCATTTGTCGTCTCACTGCGGGTACATGAAAACAGCATCACCCTTGTACGGAGAACAAGCCCAATACGGGGCAAAAGGACAGACGCACAGGCCAATGTTGATCACAAATAGGGTGCTGACATTGCAAGGTCAAAAGCAAACAAAATCCACTCCTACGTTGTGCATGTACGATGTGGAGGTCGATCTGCGATCCTGGTAACCTGAAGGATGATGTACATGGTAATACGATGTGTCACTCAAAGTAAAAAGAGAAATGGCCGGCTGCATGCCTAATGCTTCATGAAGGTGATGTTGCCCGTTCATTGCTTTAATGCTTGCAAAAACATATTTGGTGAGACAAGGGCATCTGCTTCGAACTCCACACTTTGAGAACATCACGTGCGCATGCTCCACCGCTGTCCCCTCTCGTCCTCTCGTGAGACAATCACCCTGCAGGCCATTCTCGAAACGACTTGTCCTTGCTCGAGCCCTCAGTTGGTCAATCTCAACGGGCGGCAATACCATGCGGCCAACGAAAGCGTGCGTGCAATGCCGAAGCGGAAAGCGGCGGTGCGATGGAGTAAGACACGCGGCCTGCATCCAATGCGTTCGACGGAATCTGCCCTGTTCTTCAGCCGGTGCGACGACGCTTGACCGCTCTCCACGGACAGGGACCGAGGGCAGGGTCAGCAAAATATCCCAAACTGGCCCCGACGGGGATGTACTTCCCCTGGTGGGCCTGTACTTTCGGCTGATCGATCAGAAGCCGCACAGCCTCTTCCACGAGCCGTCCTTCAGGGCGAGCATTGCAGCTGGAACGGCGTCACGAACCGTGCTGATTTGCATGATGGCCATGTGTGCGCGGTACGTCGTGTTGTTGCTCCTGTGCTGGGGTTTGCATGTTTTTGCGCTATCCAGCCTTTTGGATGCTGTCGGTACACCTCGTGTTCACAAAGCGAAACGAAACTCATAGCTAACCTGATCAAGATTTTCGACGCAGCCAGATGTTCGAGCTCGTGGACCAATGTACATTGCAGAAGCCAAGGCAGCACTGAAAGGTGACATTGAAAACATTTGCGTTGAGAACCTGCAGGCCTGCATCTTGGTTGGGAACATTTGCGCTGGAGACTGCGATTCCAACGCAGAGTCGTTGTACTTTGGTAAAACACCCTGCCCACTCCATTTTTCAGGGAGGCAAGTCCAGCTGATCTTGGATCCAACTAGCACTTGCCACGCGTATGGCTCATATCCTCAAAGTATGGGACATGAACGATGGTGATGACGGCGTCACCCGGGAGATCAAGCGGCGCATTTGGTGGACGTGTTTCATCATCGATACTTGGGGCAGCGGCGGCATCGGTCTGAGTCGGCAGTTTGGATGGCGACCCAAGATGCCAAACGTCCCCATGGACGAGGCAGTGTTCTCGGCCATGCGACCCGGTGATCCGGACATTGACAGCTTGGAATGGAAGCCGGGCCTGTGGGGGCACATGGTCCGGCTTGTTGAAATATACGGCCAGATCCAAGACTTTCTCAGGCATCTTGCCGAGTCGGACGACTGGGATGAGAACGCCATCAGCGATACGGTTCGCGACCTCGACACGCAAATGACCGACTTCGAGCTGAACATTGGGCCCGACCTGGCCTTCTCGACACACAACTTGTCCAGGTACTTGAGTCACGGCCTCGGCAGTGTCTTCATTGCTTTCCACCTGGGCTTTCATCACTATAAAACGCTGCTGTTCTACATCTACCTCGACAGCCGCCGATCATCGGTCAGGAATGGCAAGGCGTACGCACGACGCTGTAAGCACCATGCAACGACCGTATGTGAGGTGCTCAAGGCATCGCGGGACCACCCCGGTGCCGAGGCGCTTTACAACATCGTCGGCCATGTGACGATTGTCTCGTCTTCTGTTCTTCTGCACACATATCTCTTTGGCGAAGCGGACGAATTGCCGCACTCGCGACGCTGCTTGGAGTCGAATCTGGAGACACTGGTCCAGCTGCGTGGCTACTGGGCAAATATAGACCTTATGGTGAGTTGAACCCGCACACCGAGGACAAGATCGTTGCCGTGAAGTAACTGACGTGACAAGATCAAGCGCCTGGTCATATTTCAGAACAACTGCATGCGCTCGCTCAACGAAGACACGTATCGCTTTGACAGATGGATGGTCAAGTTTCTCATTGCGCACTCGCTGACGCTGGAGGACAAGAATGAACATGTCACATTCTCCATCCCAGCATATGCGGTCGGCCAAAGCGACGGGGGAAACATGCATCTCGAACGGGGACGGGTCACGCAGGGGATCATTATGGGGATCCGGGGCCTGGACGGACTGGAATAGGGCCCGCATTTAGAAGTGTAGAGGGGAGAACGCAGATCATCGTGTTGAACTTTTTAGCAACAAACAAAGCTGCCATCAACGAGACACTTTGCCAATATACACAACAAAATCGTGGGACTCTGGGACTTCGCTAGTCGGCCTTTTTGTTGCTTCTAGCGAGTCTCCACAGCAGCGCACAGTAGACTGCTGGCAATTCCGACTGGTGGTGCGGCGGGTCCACCAAGCCGGTGTAAGCAGTGGACACCACTGCCAGCCTGTCGGTATCAATTGACGCGAGTTCAGAAGCAGTAATTGCAGACAAGAGACAATGCTTGCCGCCTACTTATGGGCACTGCCTTGCTCTCCACTGTTTGCAAAGCGACGAAATTCACAACAGCAGAGACGACAGAGAATCAGGAATCACGACAACATGGGATCCATCAACACCACTGGAAAGTTGAATGTGGCTTCGTGCGGCATACATGGCTTTGGCGAGGCCATTGGCATCGACGTGGACGAGCTGCGTTTCTTCTGGAAACTGGAATCGACCGACGAGCATGCTAGACAATGTGCGTACCGCGTGGTTGTATCGACCAACAAACCAGTGCATGGACAGAGCCTCACAGCGCCTTGTTTTGACTCGGGCCGTGTCGACGGACCCGCGCAGCGCAATATACTGTGCAAGCCCGACCATGGCTTCCGGCCCACGGCCTTTCACTACTGGACCGTGCAGGTTTGGGACCAAGACGGGAACGACACAGTGAGCGCGGTGAACGAGTTTTACACATCGTACCCCCGATCCAACCGATTGCTGCCGCCCTACAGCATGAACCAGACCTATGTGTGTTCCTTTGCGTCTCTCCTCTGTGCATTGCAAAAGGCAACAGATGCTGACCCAGAACGTGGCATGGTAGATGCCGCACACGAGCCTCATTTTCCGCTCTTGGTTTGAAAACCCCGACGGGCGGTGGAAGGCGGCGTGGATTGGCGATGGCGGTGACAAGCCAATCTACCTTCGAACGTCCCTCGACCTGCAGCGTAGGCCTTGGCGGGTTGTTGTGCTCGCCTCAGGACTCGGCCATTTCAACCTCAGTGTCAATGGCCAGCCGGCATCGGCTCATGTCCTGGACCCTGGCTGGACCGACTACCACAGGACCGTGCAGTTTGTCGGCTACGACGTGACCGACAAGATCCTGGGCGGCATCAACGTCGTCGGGGCGCATCTTGGCAACGGCTTCTATGCCGGCGATCAGGGCGATCGCTTTTTCTGGCCCATGTACGAAGACAACACGTACGTCCGGTACGGCAACGAGCTCTGCTTCTTCGCCGAGATCCACGTGCATTACGACGACGGCACGCACGACTGCATCGTCTCCGACCCGACATGGAAAGTGAAAAAGAGCGCCACCACTCTGGCCAACATCTATGCGTCAGAGAACCACGACGCCCGGTTGTTTCCCACCGGCTGGGATACGCCCGACTTTGATGCTCGCAGCTGGGCCCCTGCCAAGCCACTGACGGGGCCGCGCGGAAAGTTGCGATACCAGAGCCAGCCACCCGTGGTCCTGCACAACACATTTACTCCTGTTCGGCAAACAACCGTAAAACCGGGCGTTGTTGTGTTCGATCTCGGCCAAAACGCATCCGTCGTGCCCCTTGTTCTGGCAAAGGGTGCTGCTGGCAGCGAGTACCGAGTCAAGTATTCCGAAACGCTCGGCGATGACGGTCTTGTTCTGATGCCCGACCCGTTGTTCAAAGACTTTGAGACCCACGTCTACTCGCGCATACGGCTTGCCGGGCACGACACGCCAGAGGCGTGGTCGCCCGCATTTTGCTTTACCAGTGCGCGGTACATTCAAATCGAGGGTGCCACCCTGCAAGGCGAGCGCGAGGGCGACCTAGTCGAAATCCAATCGGTTACGGCCCGCCACATTTCATCGGCTGCCGCGCATCTTGGCTTTGTCAAGACCGACAAGGACGACGTCAACGCCCTGATCAACGCCTGCTATTGGACATTCAGCTCCAACATTTTCAGCTACCACACGGATTGTCCCCAGATTGAGAAGTTCGGCTGGCTCGAGGTCACCTCACTGCTCTTCCCAGCCACACAGTATGTCCGCGACATGGAGGCCGTCTACTCGAAGATTCTGGACGACATTATCGACGCCCAGGAACCATCCGGGCTGGTCCCTACAATGGCACCGCTGGTCCGATACATGTGGGTGTTTTCCGCTACTTTTCTTCCTGCCTTGGTAATAGGATCCACTGACGTTCCATAGGTGTGGTCCCATGCACGACACAATCACATGGGGAGGCGCCGTCTGCCTCCTTCCCGAGATGATCAAACGCTACTACGGGAGCACCGTGGTTTTTGAGAAATGCTATGCGCCGTGTGTCCGCTACATGGAATACATGCGACGCAAGGAGCGCCTAGGTGGATTGATCGAGCACGGACTCGGCGACTGGGGCCGAGACGTTGCATTTGGCAACCACCAGGCCAACATTGAAACGGCCGTCTATTACAAGTGCCTCTGCAACGTGGCGCTGATGGCCAGAGAGCTCGGCCATGCCGCCGACGAGGCGTCGTACTCTGCCTGGGCTGACCGGGTCTATGCAAACTACAACAAGCACCTTCTGGTCACCGACAAGGCCGAGCACCCCTATGCCTACTACACCTCGCTGGACACGCCGGGGACGCGCGACCGCACCATGGTGGCCCAAGCCGTGGCCCTGCAGTTCGGCCTCGTGCCGGCACATCTGCGCGAGGACGTCGAGGCAGCATTTGTTGCGGCCGCAGAAGACGCTGGGCACGTGATGCTGGCGGGTGAAATTGGCCTCAAGTACCTGTGGAACACGCTGGCCGACCCGGGCGTCGACCGCCCCGACATTGTGCTGGACATGGCCCGGCAAGACGAGCATCCGTCCTATATGCGGTTTCTGCGCCGCGGCGAGACCACGCTGTCGGAGTTCTGGCAAGACAACTGCCGGTCCAAGTGCCACGACATGCTGGGCACCATCTACGAGTGGTTCTACGCCTATGCGCTCGGCGTGCAGCCGTTGGACGATGCCTATCGAACGTGGCGGCTTCGTCCTTGCTTCAAGGCCGAGTTCGACTACGTCGAGGGCACGGTCGAGTCGCCGTACGGGCAGATTTGCGTCACGTTTGATCGAAGGCAGAGAACGGATGGGACGGTGGCCATGGCGGTCACAGTTCCGGTAGGCACAACGTGCGAGTTGACGCTGCCAAGTAGCAGCACCAGAGTCGAGCTGAAAAGACAGCCGTCCGATTCAACCCGGGCCCATAAGGGGGCGGCGCTGCAGCTGCTCCAAGGCCGCTACACACTGGTAATCGACAAGTGGAATTAGTTCAAGGCAGATACTGAATAAACGAAATATCACAACTCCTCCATTCTGCTGGTCCATTGAACGTCTCCTCGCCTCGGTTTGAAATGTCCCGGAACGCACACCATAGTATACGCAGCGTAGAAATTGCTTTCCTTTTTTGCCAGTGCCCTCGCGTGGCTTGCATTTGCAATGTCACATTTGCAAGGGCCCATTTGCATCTCATGACAATTCCTTGACAAAGATGACAACTATCGCGTACTAGCGCCGGATTTGCTGTTAGCAGGTCCGGCGGTGATGCGAAATGATTGGATCAAGTGCAATGGATTCCACTGATCCCAGTTGCCGGGATTGACCCAATTTATGGCCGGCTTTCGACATGCCTGGTTGGCCACACGTACTTGCGCTTTGCCGGCTTTGACATCACACGATTGGATTCCGAGTCCGTCCCCGCAGTTTCCACGCGACGAGGCCATGCTTTATGCAATCCCGGTAGTTGAGGGCGTGTCAACCTCTCAAATGCCAAAAAGGCCACAAAGCAAAGCGAGGATGTTCTTGTATGAAAACTGCGGAGTCCAGACCGTGATTCCTCACGTCGTACGTCGGTCTATGTAGGAACCGAGAATCGACGGTCTGGCCAGACAGGTCAAATCGCTCGGCCAAAACGTGGCCGAACTGGCCTAATTTCCAAAAAAACAACTCTTCTCCACAGACAACGATTCAAGGCCAAGGACCCCGTGGGGATGTGAGGAGGACGACCGACCCACTTCCACTGTCATTCCACGTTCAAGTTCCTGAACAGAGCCTCTGCGCTCTCATCTAGACGTTGCTCCTCGGCACGGGACAAAGGGAAACGAAATGACAACGAAACAAAGCTTGGCTCTGCATACAACACCACGGCGTCCATAAAAGAGCGACATCACCGCCACCGTCGAAACGCTTTGCGGTAATCATATCTCCCTGGAGCAGCAAGTCGCACCGCCGCCTTTTCTTCGTTACTGTTGCCAAAATGCTCAAGTCCGGTTCGTCCGTGACGATCGTCTCGGCAGCCTTCCTGGCTGTCGGAGGTTTCCTTTTCGGCTACGACTCTGGCATCATCAGCTCCGTCATTGCCCTCCCTACGTTTATGGATTACTTCCACAACCCCAGCGACCAAATCGACGGCGGCATCGTCAGCTCGTTCCAAGGTGGCGCCGTCCTGGGCACCATCATCAACATGCTCTTCGCGGACAAGCTCGGCCGCAAGCGCACCATTCTTCTGGGCGCCGTCACATCGGTGGTCGGCTCGGCCCTGCAGTCTGGCGCGGCGGCGATGGTGATGCTGATCATCGGCCGGTTCATTGGTGGCGCTGCGGTTGGCATCCTCACGAGCACCATCCCCATGTATGCGTCCGAGCTGTCCATGCCAAAGTGGCGCGGTGCCCTTTCTGGTCTCCTGCAGTGGTTCCTCAGCTGGGGCTTCCTCGTCGCCCAGTGGCTGGGATACGGCGCTTCGTTCTCCAAGACTGCCTTTTCTTGTACGTGTCTGCCTTGCGTCCACCGCTACCCGTACGGTTGCCTGCGTACTCACACTACTCACACCCGGACTAGGGCGATTTCCACTCGGGTTTCAAATTGTCCCCGCTCTTATCCTGATTTCGGGCATCTGGTTTCTGCAGGAATCGCCTCGCTGGCTCGTCGAGCAAGACCGCCACGACGAGGCCAAGGAAGTTTTACATAAGCTGCGGGCCGGCGACGACCCCGACCGAATCGAGCTGGAGTACATGGAAATCCGAGACGTCATCATGGCCGACCGACAGATTGCCAAAGTCAACACCATGTCTATTTTCCTCAAGTCGTCCTGGCGAAAGAGGCTGCTGCTTGGATGTGCCATCCAGGCGTTTGGCCCCCTCTCCGGTATCAACGTCATCAACTAGTGAGTGCCTGTGACTCTGCCGTGGACCTGTCTCTCTACCATATACCATGCGCGCATGCTAATGGTTCATGTACGCAGCTACGGGCCCCGTATATACAAGATCCTCGGCATCGAAACGCACACGTCCTTGATGATTATCGGCATCAGTGGTGCTCTGTCCATCGTCTACTGCAGCATTGGTCTCTATGTCCTAGACAAAGTCGGCCGTATCAAGCCGCTGATTATTTCTGCGTTTGGGCTTGCCGCCGCCCTTCTGGTCAACGCCGTCCAGGCACAGTACCTCAACGAGAACAACGCCAATCAGCTGCGGTCCATGGTGGCCATGAACTTTGTCTTTAGTCTCTTCTACACACCGCTCGGCATCATCAGCTGGGTGTACCCGGCCGAGATTTTCCCGGTCGAAGTCCGCGCCCTCGGAAATGCCATCACCACCTTTACGAACTGGGTCATCAACCTCATCTTTGCGCAGTTCACACCGCAGGCACTGTCGAGCGTTGGATTCAAGTACTTTTATCTTTTCTTTGCTTTCAACCTCATTGCCGCCGTCTGCTACTGGATGTTCTTCCCGGAAACAAAAGGCCGCACGTTGGAGCAGATGGATGTTCTCTTTGGTGACCAGCTTGTCCCCCATGCCCTTGATGATCCTGAGGGTGCAGCCGCGGCCATGGCGAAAGAAGCTCGCGTCACCCAACATATCGAGCATGAAGATGCCGCATGATTGTCCATTTTGCCACGGGGAGCAGGATAGTTCGGAAAGGCGCCTACTTTCGACGTATCATCGACACTTGTCACCAAAGAGACGTCTCTGCGTTGGATAATGAGCTACTGTTTACCAAAAACACACGAGTTCGGCAAGAGGTGGACTGGCAGTGGTCTAGGCGGACAAGTACGATGCATCCTTCGGCCGGCGAACTGGCCGTGGCCAGCATTGTAGCTGTCGTCGTCGACAAAGGTTTGTTGAGGCCTATTTCTAGTTAGTATGTCCAATCAACTCATTCCAGAACAACCAGACAAGAAAAAACGTCGTTGCAGCAACACTTGATACGCCATTTACCGGTCGTAGGGGTAAAAGCGAAGGAATCTCCTCCTACTGGACCAACTGGCGTTTTGATGCGATAACGAGCACTGCCTGTACGACGCAATCAGTGTCATTCCGCTTGGCGTGAAGCTTTCCACGATGGCTGAATTTTCAGCTTTGGAAAGAGTTAATGTGTTTTATTAGACTCGCCATACACTCGTTTGCCCACAATCAAAAACGGCCGGCGGGCCCGTTTGCATAGGTCGGTCGGTGGTGCGGACCAGTCTCCGATCGGCGGGACTGGTCGGCACTGGACCCAACAGCGCCGACCAGGATCAACTGGTATCGACCACTGTCAACCAGTGTCCAAGGGTTCGTATCTTTTGTGGCCAAACGTCTCATTCGGCTTGTCGGCGGCATCCGCCGAGTAAATGGCAGCTAGCGCGGAACCAAAGGCACGCGCTGCCATTACGTATTGAAAAGTAAAATAAATACAACGAAATTGTTACATGTATGACCTGTTTAATTTTCTGCTCTGTTTTCTTTTCATTCTATTTCAGACCCCCGCTAACAAACGCCATCACTCTATCCTTCATGTCAACCACCAACCATGTCTTCCTCCGACTTGCTTCTTGTTACGACCGGCCCGTACCGTTTTCTGGCGCGGTTCGAATCCGACGCCGCACCCAAGACCGTCGCCATGTTCCGGACTCTGCTGCCGTATCGCCAGAAGCTGATCCATGTCCGGTGGAGCGGCGAGAGCCTGTGGGTGCCGTTAGGCGACCAGGATCTCGGCATCAATTTCGAAAACCAGACCAGCCACCCCGCGCCGGGCCACATTCTCGTGTACCCGGGCGGCTACTCGGAGACGGAGCTTCTATTTCCCTATGGCGGCGTGCAGTTTGCGAGCAAGATGGGCCAGTTGGCGGGCAACCACTTTTTGACAATCGTGGCTGGACACGAACACCTGCGCCCGCTGGGTGAGAGTGTGCTCTGGAAGGGCGCGCAGGACGTGTCCTTTGAGGTGGCCGACGAGGCAACGTGAGTGGATGCGTCAATGTGAATGTGATGCTATTCTGCACATTGCTAGTTCTATTTCTAATTCAATGCAGTATTGAGCAGTTCCGTCAAGACAAGGCCAAAGCCAAGTTATGAGCCGAGACGAAGCAAGCAAAAGAAGTAAGAGAAAAAGCATTGTAAATAACGTAAATAGAATCTATATTCATGTCCCACATATTTATAAGACTTCAGATGCTATCGGATAGGCCATTCGCCTGTGGTCACGTTTGGGATTTAATCCTCGTAGAAGATGGAAAGCGTCGTAGGCCAGCCTAGTTCTGAATCGTCATCAGGTTCAGGACGGCAATAGTGTGCTCTTCGGCATTTTGAAGGGTGAAGAACATCAAGGGTCGACTGGGCCAGGAGAGCCAGAGTGGACAGCGACCGGGGCTTGATAGGCGCGCGGTGTGCATGAGACGGGGCCGGTGCAAGGCTGCAGATTTGCAAGTCGTCTGGCTCGTTAGTATCGTAGGTACAATGTTGCAACGTGGGGCGAGGGGAACTCGCCGTCAATTTTCCCACGTACATAGCACAGGACAAGAAAGATTAATGCAAAGGCATGCGAGATCCAGAGCGAATCGACGGCATGGTAGAGGCTGTGGCACGATGCAGCATCCACGGCGAAAGGCCCTGCCGGAAACGTCGCCGGGTTCTGCGACTGAGGTGCCTGACGTCACTGGCCGCGTGCGCCGACAGCGAGAAGAGGATCCGCACTGCGGCCGTCAGGCCAATTTCAAGCCCGCCCAGCGCCCAGACCGGCATGTTCTGCGGCTGTTGGTCCTGCCGTCGACTGGGCTCGCTTACGGTCTCGCTGGACACGGACAAGATACTGCGTAATGCGGAGCTATTTAACGTGAGCTGGTACCACTATGCTACTCTTTCAAAGAAGAGTACACATTCGCTAATGTGTTGCAAATAGCCGAATAAAAGAACTGGTGGAAAACCATGTTTGGCTATGCTTGATTTGCTGGTATATGCAAAGGGGCTCTTGGAGCTACGTGAAAAAAGGTGCAGCTTCACCTTTATAGCTACTATCAACTCAAGAGTTGTTGTACGCCATAATATCGAGTAATTAACATGCATCTTACTATGTAGGCAACAACATGGGACGAGGGGGCAATGTCGGGGATGCGAGAGAAACACTATATACGCCATAACGACGTACAATGAGATACGTTGGTACTTTACGGCTTATGTCTCTCATGCCCCACAGCCGGCCGGGGTTGAAATCGGATAGTATGGCTAGCGGCCGGTGCCCACGACGCGCACTTCGAACCGTGTGGCCGACGGCTTGGCCACTGGAGAGGTGCGATGAAGCGGATGTTGGACAGCCGGTGCTCGAACGCCCAGCCGTCGTCACGGGGTACCCAACAGTTGTCGACCAGGCGCTGGTACGAATCGGCCCTGGGCAGCACGGGCACGAGGCCGGAGGGGGCGTCGAGGAGGCATGCGAGAACGTGCCGTCCCATGTCAGATGGGCAGGCAGACAGGCAGACAGACAAAATCATTACACTCTGTGTCCGGCTCCGTGGGTCGGCGGAGCAAGAAGGTTTATGTCACGTGGTCGACGATGGCCCGTGGGATGTGGCCCAAGTTGCCAGACAGGCTCGGACGTGGCCTAGCCATGAAGCAATGCGTTATGTTTCGCTTCGATGCCAATGGACTTGGCGAGGAGTCTGCCGGGGAGTGCGCATCGCTGTTCCTGGCTGCAAATCGTACTGCTTCATGTATCTCTTCGCGCTCGTTCACATTACGGTTCTTTAGTGGTGTCTGTACCTCGCAAACCCAACTGTCGTCGTCTTTTTCTTCTTTGTCTTTTTCGTTTTTCATCTTTTGATCATCGTCATTTCTCCTCTTCTTCTCCCGCAACTGAATCGCATAGAGATTCGATTGTTTCATTGGCCTATGTTCCAATCAATACATAGACAAGCGAGTGTCTCCGCGCTATTTTTAATGCCACTAATTAAAAATAGTACAGCGTGACATGAACATCTCCTGCTCCGTCGGTTGAGGTCGAAATAAGGTGAAGCTTTCGTGTCGTACTTCACGAGGCACTGGCCAATCAGATGAGCGATGCCGGTACCTCTTGCCTTGTTGGGAAGAACAGCTTGTGGTGACCGCGAAGTGGGGGCGTTCTTTCCCGAGTCAGCTAGGGCTGGCTGTCCGTTCTGGTAAGGCCGAGACCACCGAATCGCGCATTAACAGTTTTGGCAGCCAGACCCACCTTCCGCTGTTAGTCTGTATTTGAAATCCTGTTCACTAATCATTAAATCGCCTCGGCCGTGCCTTCCCTGTAGCTCCATGACCTCAACCGCGACCTCAATCTCGACCTCCATCCCAACGCCTGCCCCACGTCCATCACAGCGATCTCTACGGAGCAATCGATAACAGCCGTCGGCGCAAGCGGTGTCGCAACTCTTACTTCTCAGCCCCTGGCACGTCAACCCGCTTATCAATCTACATTCCCATTGTCCAGGCACAACTACTGGGTGGCCATACGCAGTGCACGGCACGCACTTTGGAGGGTCTTCTTTTCTTTCGTCGTCTTATACGAAGGGCGCATTGTTGTTCCCCTCTGCTCATTTGGCACCTCGGTCTGCTTACAAAGACTACGCGTGCACGGTTACGACGTCTAGAGGTGACCCTGTGCACGCCGTAACGGGGAGACATTGTCCTCAAGGCTGCTGTGTGAAGCAGTGCTTCGTTGACAAAGCACGTTGTTCCATCGTTTTCTTCCATTCCCTGCTCTTTTCGTCTTCCCTTCGTCACCTCGAGGCTTCGTTGTCTTTGTCCACTCCACCCATTCCTCTGTCTGGAAGTGGACTCCAGGCAATTCAAAGTTGTTCCAAGCTCTCCGTTTCTTTTCTGGTGGTGCTTCCCCTCTGTCGTCCCCGTCATTTCACCCTGTTCATGCTATCCTCCTCCTTATCCACTCTTTCCACAACTTCCACAGTCAGACAGACGAGTGAGTAGTGTCCACTTTTCCACACTTGGACCTTTCGTCTGCCAGTGTCCTGTGTTTCCCACCGACTCGCGACCATATATGAGCGCCAAAGGCGTCCTACACGGGGCGTCTCGACGCACCTCAACGGCCTACATGGGGTCCAATCTCGACATTCTCAATGCCGTCCAGTATGACATTGGCGTGCCGCTGTCCCCCATGACACGGGCCTCACGCGCCGCGAAGCGGAAGAGGCCAGCCACAATGGCCGATGCCGAAGAGAGCCGAGACACCACAGACGTCGCCGGCGCGCACAGCCCACGGACAACGCCACACAACTCTACCGTCGCCGAGCTGCTGTCGGCGGTGGATGGGGCACCGCCGTCCAAAGGCGGCCGTAAGCCGACAAACAAGCCTCGGGCCAGCAGAAAAGCTCCGGCCAAGACCACTGCCTCCCTGGCCGAGGCCATTCTGGACTCCGTGGAAAGCGACGAGGGCGACATCGATGGTGAAGAGGCCGACGCGGAAAAGAAGCGTGCACGTGGCCGGCCACGGATCGACGTCAAGGACGTCACTGCCGCAGATGTGAGTTTGTCCAGACGATCCGCATGCACATAGATGCACACAGATGCACATAATGCTGACACGTCCAAAACAGCGCCGACGTACCCAGATTCGACTGGCGCAGCGGGCGTACCGAAGCCGCAAAGAAAAGGCCATTGTGTCTCTGGAAAAGCGCGTCAACTCGCTCAAGGAGGCCAACGAGGCCATGAGCAACGCCTTTATGCGTTTGCACGACTTTGCCCTGGGCCGTGGCTTGCTGGACCAGCACCCCGATCTGGCGCAACACCTGCGCCAAACGACCGAAGTGTTTTTGGAGATGGCACGGCAGTCGAGTGCCGACGAGGACATGGACGACCCCAACGAGGAGGAGGCACACGGCCTCGGCAACAACGGCGGCACCAACAACAGCAGCAAGCCTGCATCCGACGAGGCGATGCGGGCGTTTGAGAAGAAACAAAAGGAAATTACAGATGCGGTCCAGATGTTTGGCTACCAGTCGCAGCATGAGCCTGTCAACAAGGCCGGGAACACGCACACGCGCAATCCTGCACAAACCGAGGCACCGGCCGTGCTCAGCCAGCAGGTGGTGCTGCCATCACAAGCATCACCCATTCGAGCGACAGACAGTGTGTCGAACCAGCTGTACGGCGGCCTCCTCATGGCGCAGGCGCTGAACCTCGACACTGACGACAGCAATGTGGGCTCCTTCGACTCACAACCCGACGACGTGGTGTTTGGGAGCGCCTTCGGCACGGCCATGAACATTGTCAACGCGACGGCCAACACGGAGTCGCTCGACGGCACCGTCCCTGTCGGCTCGTATTACACCGCCACGGCGACGGCCAGCGGCAACGGAAGCACATCTACAGGCACGGGCACAAACAGCAACGAAATGAGCAGCGGTACCGGATCGGCGCTGTCCGTCTCCCCGGCGTCGGGCCGCAACACGGATTTTGGCCTCAGCAACGATTTCACCTTTGACGGACCCGCCTTCTCCCTCTTTTCCAACTATCCGACGCCGCCTGCTGCTGGTGCAGGGGGTGGCCAAGCACAAGCACAAACGGCGGCGGCCCCGACGTCGACGAGCGACTTGGGTCCGCACCTCGCCAGCACCGACGCATTTATTGCCAGCGCCGCAATGGGCCGCCCAACGGCCGGGCTGCCGCTGCCGATGCCGTATCCGGGGCTCCAGCCGCCCGGCAAGTACCCGCCGGACTTCTCGTTTGGCCTGCGCCTGCGGCGGTACGCCATTGAGAGCGCGTACCGGTTGATCAGCACGGCCAATCCGCCTGTGGACAGCTTTGCGCGGGCCTTTGGCTTCTGCATCATGTTTGAGCCCATCGACACGATCCGCCGACGGTTGCAGCGGGGACTCGAGACGCCGTATTCGCCGAGCAAGTTTACGCGCTGGGAGCTGCCGTTTGTCAGCCAGCACCCGGACGTGGAAGACGCGGCGGGTGCGCCGGCGGCGGCGGCGGTGCGAGCGCACGCGTCGTCGCCGACGGCGGCATCGCCAGCGTCCCGCGGCAGCAGCAGCAGCAGCAGTAGCAACATCAACACCAACAGCACCAACAAAGTGCTGCCCAACAACAGCAACAGCGACCACCGCGGCACGGGCGTACGGCCAGTGACGCCGCAGATCCACGTGACGCTGCCCGGGTTCGAGGGCGCATTTTACGACTGCGAAGAGACGGAAATGTACCTGCAGCAGCGCGGCGTGCACATCCCGCCCGACTCGAACAGCGTGATTGTGGAGGTGGACGATGCGGACTTTGCCGTGGACGCCGCGACGCTGGCGACCCGTGGCCGCAAGACCAGCGGCGACGACAGGACGGCAGCCAGTACGGCAGCCGGCACGTCAGCCGGCACGTCCACCAGCGCAGCAGCAAGTACATCAAAGTCGGCCCGCAACGCCACGAGCACGGCCGACACGAGCCGGGGCAGCAGTGGCGGCAGCAGCAGCAGCAGCATACCCCTTACGCAGAGCGGCACGGCCCTCGGCATGTTCAACTACCTATCGCCGGACCTGGTTAAGCCCAAGACGCGGAACGGGGATGCCACGGCCATGGACTGGGGCGGGTCGGGCAGAAGTGGCGTTGCCGGGACCATTGCTGCCGCCAATGCTGCTGCCGGTCGTGGAAACGGCAGCAGCAGTAGTATGGACGAGGAACAGCTATTCATGTCGTTTATGGAGGCGCCGCTGTTCCGCGTGCCGTCGCCGTCGCCGCCGCCCGTCAATTTCCCGCAGCGGCGTCTTCTGTCGCTGAACGTCGACAAGTTTTTGAGAGGTGAGCGTCCTCGACAACAGTCCTCAGCAGTCGTGATTCACTTTTGCCCTGACACTAACATATTCCTGCAGAGCTCGTCCGACGGGGCACGTGCCTCGGCCAGACGCCTGGCTTCCGGGCGTCAGACGTCAATGAAGCCTTTTGGAGCGCCACGCGCAGTGCATCGGCGGTGTAAAGGGAACGACATGGGTGACGACGATGTGCTTCTTTTCGTGTTTTTTTATTCGTCACGTTCGTTGTTCTCTTGTCAAGCAATGGTTACGGGGCCACTCGTAGACGGCGTCATCCTATCTCAGCTTAATCATTACGTATTTTCTGATGTTCCGGGCCATCGTGCAAGGTGGTCGACATGCGTTCCAGCCGTTTGGACGGACTTGTGACACTGGTCAACCCTGTCCTTATGCTCTTTCGCGCAGAGCAGGCGAGGCGCACATAAGGGGACCGGCATTAGGGGCGACTCGGCTGCATTTTGTCTTGCCGATCGTCTGGGCGCGCACTGGCCTTTGGACGTGCCGAGTCGAGGCAGGCCCAGTTTGATACATTTGCCATGTTTTGGACGAGACGACTGCGCCCGGTAAAAAATGCCGGAGTGCGGGGTTGGAGGCCATGAGGTTGTGGGAGTAATGAAGAATGAGTAATGAGGCCCGTGCAAGCGTTTTGTGCAAATGGGTGTGCTTTTTTGATGTTCCTGTGCGGCTGTCTTGAGTCTCATTTGAGGCTCTCTTGAGGCTCTCTTGAGGCTGATCGCCAGATCTCCGACACCCCTTGACACCCAACCAGCCTTACCAGTACCCGGGTTGTGTGTCTCTGGTGGCTGCGCCGGCTCGTATTTCAATTCTTTCGTCTTCGTTTTCTCTTCTTCGTCGTCTTTTGTTCTTGTTCTGTATTTCCTCATTCGACAATTGAAAACACAGAGGCCCTCCTATTTAGACGTCCTGGCTGCCGTCTGTCGCATTGGGCTGTTGCATTCTTTTCTTTCCCGTCTTTCCTTTGTTTTTCTCTTCTTTCTTTCTTTTCCTTTTTTCCTTCGTTTTCGTCTTCCTGTCGTTTCCCACGTTCGTCATTGCATCACAGTACGATATACCAAACGATCGCCCTTTGCTCTCTGCAACAGTCGACAATGAATTCTTCCACCTCGGCGGCCGCGCCAGAATCGCCCAGCCAGGCAGACCTGGCGGCCGTGGACACCGGGCCCCAGCTGAACATTACGGTCTGGGGACTGACGGGCGTCGCGACAGCGTTCTTTGCCGTGCGGCTGTACTGCAAGTTATTACGAAAGCGCCGTCTGCGGTGGGACGACTGGGTGCTGGCGGCAGGCTGGGTGAGTTTGTGCCTTTTCACAAGGATTGCCAGGGGATGCCCAGGGCAGTGATTGTCACTAACTTGTTGAGACCGCCCTCGTCATCTCGTGTGCGTTCCAGTCGGCGTGCGTGCACTACGGCCTCGGGCTCCACGGCCGCTTCATCAAGCCGGAAAACCTCGACAACCTGCTCTTCTACTCGTACGCGGCGGGCTTCGCGTCGACGCTCGCGGCGGCGTGGACCAAGTCGTCGTTTGCCATCACGCTGCTGAGCATCTCGGACGGCCACACGCGGCACGTCGTGTGGTTCGTGCTCATCTCGGTCAACGTGGTGCTGGGCCTCAACGCGACGCTGCAGTGGGTGCAGTGCTGGCCGCCGGGGCGGCAGTGGCACCCGGGGGCGCCGGGGACGTGCTGGCTGGGCAGCCAGCACAGCCGGGCGTACAACATCTTTGTGGCCGCGTACTCGGGCTGTGCGGACATGGTGCTGGCGGTGGTCCCATGGAAGATCCTGTGGCACATGAAGATGCGGCAGGCGGAGAAGGTTGCCGTGCTGTTTGTGATGAGCATGGGCGTGTTGTAAGTTTGTGTGGGCAAACGTGCGTGCGTGGGTGGTAGACGTTTGTCTGTTGGCTAACACGAAGCAGTGCCGGCATCACGTCGTTTTTGAAAATCATGTCGCTCGATGCGATTGGGAACGTTGATCTCAGTACGTTGTGTCCGACTGTAGCGTGTTTGTGACTTGTTTGTGCTCGCCGTCGTATCTATCACTAACATCGCAGTCACCACGGTCAACCTGTTTATCTTTGGCACGGCCGAAGGCGCCATTACAATCATGGCGGCGTCAATACCCATTGTGCGCGCTCTGCTATATTCCGATGCACGACAATGACGCAGTGTCGGAGGCGGCAGCATGCGGGAGCCTCGGCCATATACACCATTTAATACAGAGCCGGGCTGTGTAATGTAGATCCAGAATGCAACGTGTATCTGTTTTCAGGATGCGAGCAAATAATAATAATATTCAAAATAAAAATAAAAAGAAAAAGAAAAAGAAAACATATCCAATGCGTGCTAAACAAAAGGTAGCGGCAGATCTGTACTAAAACAGAAAGGCTGGACCCCACGCGCTGCCGCATCTTACCCGATGTTTAGCCTTGCCGGTACGACATTCCCAGTCCGGGACAGAGCATGAGATACATAAGTCGTCCTGTCGACACGGCGATGTTGTGTTGGCTGTTGTGCGGCAATCTCTGCCACACTGTCCACGATAAACTGTCCACAATACAGCCATGTCCTCGACTCAGACGCAGACAAAGCAAGGGGATGTCATCCCGCTGGAGACGCTTGAAGTGGCCGACAAGAGTCTGCAAGACGACGGCCATGGGACAACGACGACAACAACGGCCGCCCGAATGAGTCGCAGCACGCAGCTCAAGATCCTGAGCGCGGGCTTCTCTTTTTTTGTCGCCGGCATCAACGATGGCAGCATTGGCGCCTTGTTTCCATACATTCTGCAAGACTACGGCATCACGACGGCCATTGCATCATCGGTGTAAGTCACACGTACAAAAGTGCACCAATAACCCATGCACACATTCACTTATTCACCTCTGGGAGATGGTCGACTCCCGACAACGTCTAACAACACCCCTCCCCCCAGGTATGGCGCCAATTTTGTGGGCTGGTTCGTCGCGGCCCTGTCCAACACGCATCTGTGCCAGCACCTGTCGCTCGGCGCGATGCTGCTGCTGGGCGCCGTCCTGCAGACGCTGGCGCACGCGCTGCGGCCCTGGCATCCGCCGTTTGCGCTGTTTGCGGCGAGCTTCGTGCTGTCGAGCCTCGGCCAGGCGTACCAGGACACGCACGGCAACACCTTTGCGGCGGGCGTCCGGCCGGCGGCGCACCGCTGGCTGGCGCTGATCCACGCCAGCTACGCGGCGGGCCTGTTTTGCGGCCCGTTCGCGTCGACGGCAGTGGCCTCGTCGGCATCGTCGTCGGCGTCGCGGTGGAGCCTGTTCTACTACGTCCCGCTGGGGCTGGGCGTCCTCAACGTCGGCCTCGTGGCCTATGCGTTCCGCGACGTGCTGTCCATCAAGACGAGAAGCAAGTCCGCGGCAGCAGCAGACACAGCAGCAGCCGATGCATCGCCGGGATCGGACCGCCGTGCCCTCGACTTGGTCCAGACGGCGCTGCGCAGCAAGAACGTCTGGCTGCTGAGCCTCTTCTTCTTCTTCTTTCTGGGCGCCGGCGTCACGGCCAGCGGCTGGATGGTCGACTACCTCGTGGTCGTGCGGCACGGTGACATTGCGCGCATGGGCTTCGTCCAGGCCGGCTTCAGCGGCGGCAACCTGCTGGGCCGGCTGCTGCTGGCGGAGCCGACGCACCGCTTGGGGACGCGCCGCATGATTTGCATCTACACGCTGCTGGCCATTGGGCTGCAGCTGTTGTTCTGGCTGTACGTATTTGTTCTGGGTGGTCACTGATGTGGATTTGTGGTTCTGCGTCTGCTTCTGTGTTTGTTTCTATTTCTCTCTGCTCATGTCCTCATGTCTTTTTCCTGCTGACTCGCCAGTGTCCCCAACATCATCGTGGCGTCCATCTCGGTCTGCCTCCTCGGCTTCGTCATGGGGCCCTACTTTGCCACGGTGCGTCTTCTTGTCTTCTTTGCTTGTGCTGCCTGCCCAGGACTCTTCTGCTGACACACAAAACCTCGCAGGGCATGTCCATTGGGTCCCAGCTCTTTGCGCCCGAGATTCACCCCACCGCGCTGGCCTTTGTCTTCGTCATTGCCCAGATCGGCGGCTGCCTCTTCCCCATCATCACGGGCCTCGTCGCATCCCGCGTCGGCGTCCACGTCCTGCAGCCGATGCTGTGTGCGCTGTTGGTGGCGACGGCCGTCAGCTGGCTGCTGGTCCCGCGGCCCAAGGAGAGCGGGCATGCGCTGCACGAGGAGTAGGTGCGAGTGACCAGCTCTGCGACAGTCGTTGGGTTGTGGCAGCATTTCGACATTGTGTCGTGTTGGCGTGTCCAGCAGGCATATCTACTTTGAGACTGTCTGATCCTCTCTGCATTTCACCGGCGGTCCACCAAATGACAAAATAAGGAATAAGACAATGTCGTGGCTGGTGTAGTGTAGCACCCGGGTGTGCATGTCGTATGTGATGTAAGATGTGGAGGTCCTGGGGAAAGGATGGACACTCTCGCACATAGGCATAAACATTCATATTTCATAGCTCCATTATTCGTGATGGTGTGCTGTCTCGTCTGCTGCCTGCTGCACAAACCTCCCCCCTATATGAGTTCGTCTTCCTCGCGCCACGGCTTGACACGGCCTTCCAGGCCAAACCCGGCATACTCGACGCGCTGTCCGTCGCGCTGCTGGTCGACAATGCGGCCGAACCGCAGCCGCAGCTGGCCCACGTCTGGGTCGACGGGCTGCGCGCCGACCGAGCGGCGGTATGTCTCGGCGGCGGCCTCATCGGCCAGGTTGTGGCCCGCTGGCGCCAAGAGGGCCTCGCGCAGTTGGTCGCTGCGGGTCGTCAGGAGCGTCGACGAAAACGACAGCGTGCTGACGACGCCGTTGTGGCGCAGCGCGCGGACGCCGACGAGCAGCATGGCCAGCAGGGTGGCGCCGAGCGCGGCGGCGTAGGCGGCCCAGAGCGTCGTGCGGCTGTAGACGAAGAAGAGGTGCGTCTCCGTGTAGGTGACGCGCGCGCGCATGGTGGGCGGCTGCGGCGTCGTGTAGCCGTCGAACGCGAGCAGGCTGTACGTGAAGTTGCGCGATAGGTCCTCGATGGCGGCGGCGAGGGTGCCGTTGCGGCAGCGGCTGGGGCGCACGGCCGATACGTTGTTCGCGGGCGAGTCGAAGATGACGTCGGCCATGCGCAGCAGCGAGCTGTTGTAGATGTCGGCACAGTTGATGAGCGGCGACTGCAGCAGCGGCAGCGTCGCCGCCAGCGACGTGCTGCCGCGCGGGACGCCCGCCTGCTGGATGGAGAAGGCGCCGTCGGCGGCCACGCTCAGCGTCGCGCCCAGCAGGTAAGAGAACAGGAGGTGCGTGACGTAAAAGGCCGGCGTGGCCTGCGTGCAGTTGCCGTAGGCCGACGTGTTGGCCGTGTAGTTCAAGTTGTCGTAGAGGTGGAGCGCCGACACGCTGCCGCAGGTGTCGGTCCATTCCTGCGGCTCCAGCAGCTCGACGCGGCGCGGCACTACGGTCTGCACGCCGTCGGAGAAGTCGAGCGTCACGTCGTATGAAGTGTTGTATAGCTGGCAGACGATGTTGTTGCTGGAGAAGGTCTTGGTCGATGTCGACGACGCCGGCGACGCCGACGAATTGTCCCACAGCGGGTTGACGCCGGTCGCCGCAATCAAAATCATATTGTAGAGGTACGACGGCGCGGCCGCCACGTAGACGAGCGACTCGGCAAGGGCCGTGGCGGCGTCGCTGGCGTTGGCGCTGGCGTTGTTGGGGTTGGGCAGGCCGAGCTCGCCGTAAAAGACGTCTTCAAACGTTGCAAACGTATCGTTGGCCGAGCCCTTGGGGTTGTCGATGCGCCACGTCGCCGGCACGCCAGCGCCGCCATTCTGCGCCAGCGCCTCGGCCAGGCTCATGCACTTGTACGACGGCCCGTACAGTGTCTGGTCGTACGAGCTGTTGGGGAACGGCGCCGCCACCTGCACGATGCCGTTGACGGTGCCGTCGGTGCTGGTCGTGCCGCCCGCGCTACCACCAGAACTGCCACCTGAACTGCCTGAACTGCTACCGCCGCCGCTGCCACCGCTGCCGCCGCCGCCGGCAATCGCGGCCGATGAGTACACGTTGCTAAAGAGCGTGGCAATGGCAAAGTGCGCGCCCTCGATGCGCCCGGCGCCCTCCGACGACACCCACAGCAGGTAGTCGCTGAGGTTGAGCGCCGGAACCGCCAGCGTCAGCTCGCTGGCCAGCGGGCGCGCGGCCACCGCCAGCGTCGCCGGCGTGACCACCGACGCGAGCGGCAGGCACCAGGCCAGCACCGCCACCAGCACGGCGACCTTGGCGTGGACGATGATGCTGCGGCTCGCAAACAGCGCCAGCGGGTTGTTGAGCAGGTCGAACAGCCCGTCGATGCCGTCGACCGTCATCGCCGTCCGCCGCAGCGTGTACCACACCTGCTGCGCGGCCACCGACGCCACCACCATGGAGAGCGCCGTCTTGTTGAGGAACGCCAGCGCCGTGCCGAAGCGCAGCGCCCACGTCTGCGGCCCGTTGTCGTCCTGCGTCAGCGCGCTGATTTTGTCCAGCAGACTCGAGCCCGAACTCGAGCCCGAGCCCGAAGTCGCACTCGGGGGCGCGTCCGCGAGCTGGCCGTCCTTTTCCAAATAGTACAAGTCGTGGCCGACGGCAAATAAAAGCCCCGCGATAAACAGCCCGACCGCCGCGGCCGGGTAGCGCCAGCCGATGCGCAAGCGCGGGTCGCGGACCCGCGGTCGGAGTGTCGCCGCGCGGCCCAACTTGCCCGTGAAGCCACGCCGGCCTTTGGTGAGTCTTCTGCCTGTCGTGTTGTTGCCGCCGTCCGTGATGATGTCGTTGCCCTTGCTGTCGCTCCTCACCTCCTCCACGCCGCCGTTCGTATAGATGCCCTTGTCCGCCATTGTTGAAGCAAAATCGCGTGCTGCGAAGAAGCGAAAGCAAAAGGAAGAGGGGTGGAGAATGGAATAGGAGAGGCGGCTGTTACTGCTTTCAACAGGATACTCTGGCTCCGCCTTCTCTGCCAAGAACTGAAGCGCCAGAAAATAAGATGAGACGTGCGGGGGGGCAGGCCAGATTCCTGGTTGCAGAAGGGCACTGCCCTACCAGTATTTATGTACGTAGAGCTGCGAGAGGAAGGAGAATGGAATAACGAAGAAACACACGTGTAAAATACATGTAGTAAAATGTAAATAGATAAATAAAGGCCAAAGCAAAGCGAAGAAAGTGAGGCGAAATGTCAAATCTTTCTTATTGACATCGAACAGCACCGGGTAGCTTCTTGGCGTCACTTATCCTTTTTGAGCTAAATGGGACGGGTGAAACATTCAGGGACCACAGCTGAACTGTGCCGCAAATTCGTGCCGAGGTTTGGCGACGGTGCGCCCAGTCACAAAACACAGCCTCAGTCTCCCGTTGCTCGATATTGGTCGGAGGATCGTGATGTTGCAATTTTCATGCGGCATCGATATCTGTTACGGTGTAGGATGAGACAAAAACATGCAGACATAAAGTACACATACGTACAAAAGTACCTTGTAGTGCAAGTAAACCACCGTACTGTGACATGTTAAGCGCCAGGGTGGTCCGTGCCGGCCAGACGAGGCCAGAACAGGAATCAGTTGCGAGTTGTGGCGCTTGCAGCACACCAATGCTCGGCCCCTCCCATGTGTTAAAGCGGCTCTGCGATGATGCTGTCAAAAGAACGGAAGTCGGCATTTCATGATGACGTGTTCAGGTTGAAGAACTATGACTTCTTGCCTGGGACAAATGAACCGGTACAAAAAAATAAATAAATCATAAAACAGAAACACACAAACAAAAATAATAAAAAATTGAACGGTTCTACTAACAGGACCATGGCAAAAGAATACAATTCGTACAATGATATAAGATTGACTAGCCTAAATTAGCCCAATGGCAAACCTGTTCTTAAAAAGACAAAATCTAGAATACATGTTGTAAAAAGTGGGAGAGCTTCTCTCTGCCGGCACCATGTGCCAGTTGCGGCCGTTCCAAAAGCGCCGATCCACAGAAGCAGCGTCTAGACGACTTGACGCCCCGACGCCCCACGCCTGGCGATCTACTCCTGCTTTGCCCGCGACAGGTACCATGTGGTGGACAGCGTGCCGTCCGCAACGCCGAGCGAAAAGAGAACAAGGGCACCGCCCCAGCCGATGCGGCGCGGGAAAATGCCGGCAATGCCGCCGCGGCGGGGGGGCTCTGCCGTGTTGCGCAGCACACGGGCCGTCGAGAAGGACGAGGTCTGGCCGGCCATGCGAGTGGCGGCGCGGACAGCAGTGCGGGCGATCATGGCGGACATTATGAATGGTATTGAGGTGGGGTTGAGTAGTTGTTAATTGGAGAACTGTGGTTGAAGTGGTTTATGGTTTGTTGTTCTGTGTTCTATGTTCTGTGTGTTCTGCCATCGATACTGTCCTCCTCCACTGGATTTATATGCACAATGCTGCGTTATGCTCTGGCGTTAGGCTTGGCGACGGTGCGTGGATGAAGCTGTTGGCGTTGTGTTTGAGTTGTGCTGGTGCGGGTGTTTGCGGCGTCAACGGGCCTTAGCGGACCTTAGCGGGCCTTAGCGGCCTTGCTAGCGCTAGCGGCAACCCTATCGAGCCTGTCTTACCTACCATAACAAACGCCCACTGTCGGCAGTCTTAGCGGTTCCATTGAATGGCCGGCTGACATGCGTAAGATGCGTTTTCTTACTGCGTTATGCTTCGGAATTGCCAGGCACAGTTGACCCATTGCCGTGGAATTGTCGCGTGCCATGCACATCATCGGTAAAAGTCCGCTCACAGACGCTGAGCTGATTCCGAAATGACGTATTTTTACAGAGTCCACCTTTTCAAAACGTGATGCTTCATCAACATTGATTTCAATAGAGACAGACAAATGTTAACAGTCAATACAAACAAGTCCTTTGCTCGACATGCGATACTGACAAACAAAACACCAAACGCCAATGTCATAACCATGTCCTGACCCGATCGAATCCGATGCTCACGGTTTATCGCCAGTCCTACTCAACCTCAACCACATCCACTCTCGCCTACTGCGGCCGCCGGATCGTTGGCGGCTTAAACGGCTGTCTCAGTCGGTCCATCGGCGCAAGGGTGCCGCCTCTCTGACCTCCTCCGCCTCCTCCTCCACCTCCTCGCCCAATGCCGTTTGCATGCACCTGCGCATATGTAGTCGTATGGAATGAAGTCACTGGGCGCGTTGCTATGCTGCCGCCGCTGCCTCCACCAATACCACCACCACTCTTGCCTACCAGAGCACCCAGCTGGTGGTTCTCCTTACCAACCACCGGCCGCTGTGGCGCGCGGTACGGTCGCGGCTGGTTGTAGCCGTACGGCTGTGGCCGCTGTGGCCGCTGTGGCGGAGGCACACTCGCAACCGGTGGAAGAGCGACCGGCGGCTGTCCATCATCCAGCGTCGGCTCTGCCTCGCGCGGCGGCGAGCTCGAAAAGTGGGCGTACCGCTTCTGCCTGCCCTTGTTCTTGTCTGAGTCCTTGTCCTTGCCATTGCCGCCTGCTTGGCCCATTGCGTCGGGACCACAAACAACCGCGGCCGGCAGCATGTTGCCCCGTACACCACCGAGCGACCGGTTCTTGAGCTCGGCCGGGATGCCCACAGGGACAGCAGGATCAGGGCCTTGTTGTTGGTGGTATTGGTGTTGGTGCTGGTGCGGCATCGCAAACATGCTCGAGGATCGCTGGAACCCGGCTTTGACGGGTGCAGTGGTTTGGGATCGTGCTGCTGCTGTTGCTGCTGTCGTTTCAGCAACTGTGCCGGTCGAGTGGCTCCGCGTAAAGCTCTGCATAATGGTCTGCTGGCCTGTCGGTAGAGCACCCCGTTTGCGTTTGTCGGTCGTTGTCGATGTTGATGTCGACGGCCCAGGCAACGGCCGTTTGGCAGCTTCGGCAGCCTCGGCTTCCAGCATGGCCGAATGGTGTGCCGAGGCGGTTGTGAAGCCCGGGTATGCGGCACCGCCGCCCATTGTAAAGTTGGAACCGCCGCCCTCCATCGTTGTCGTGTAGCCGCGCTGCCACGGTCCTTGCTCGCCGCCGCTGTAATCTGGCATCTCCGTCATCGTCCGCCGCCGCTTCGAGTTTTTGGTTGTTGTCATTGTAGCCCGCGTAGCTCTGCCCGCCCTGCTGCTGCTGCTGTCGCCGTCGGAACCGGCTCGAATACTCGTACCCGCCGTCTTCGTCCTCGTTGTGGTAGCGCGAGGCCTCCAGCGGGTCCAGCGGGAACACGTCGTCCAGAAGCGGCACGTTGGACGGCAGGTCCTGGTAGATGGCGCGCTCTTGGGGCACCGGCCGCCCCAGGATGTCGCCCATCTCCTCGAGCAGCGCGCGGTCGTACGCCGGGCCGCGCTCGGCACACCAGACGTCGACAATGTCGGCCAGGAACGGTGACAGGTTCTGCTCGCTGCGACGGGCCTCGCGCTCCTTGTCGCGGTCCGGCGCGCCAAAGAGCGAGTAGCTAATGTTCAGCAAACACTTGGCCCGCGTCATGGCCACGTACAGCAGGCGCCTCTCTTCGTCAATGTCCTCGGACCGGCTGTGCGGCAGCGAGCCCTCGTAGGCGGCCGGGATGAACACCACAGGCCACTCCAGGCCCTTGGCTGCGTGGATGGTCGAGATGGTCACCATCGGCAGCGGCTCGTCGGTGCCCTCTTGCGTCTTGTCGGCGTCGGCGGCGAGGCTGATGTTGGCCAGGAACTTGTTGAGCACGTCCGTCTCCTTGGTCTGCTCGACGCCATCCACTGTCGGCAGCTCGTCCTCGGCCATCAGCAGCTGCGCATTGTTCATAAACTCCCGCGCAAGCGTCACGAACTCGTCAACGTTGGCCCACCGCGCCTCGTCGTCGCCGCCGTACGTCTCGCCAATGTACGTGCGGTAGTCGAGCTGCTCGGTCAGCGCCACAATCAGCTGGACCAGGTCGTATGCCCTTGCGGGTTCGGTTGGCGTGAAGGCGTCGGTAAGGGTGCCGCCGACGTCGCTACCCTTCCCACCTGCCTTTCCTTTCTTTGCTTCCTTTCCTTCACGTCCCTCTTCCGCCCCCTCCGCCTCATCCATCGTGCCCCTGAGTCGACCTTGCAAGCGCTGGATCAGGTCGATAAAGCGCCCCATCTTCTTCTCTGTCGGCGCCGTGATGCCCGTCTTGGCCACCAGGTCGCCCCGGCAGTGCTTCGTGATCAGCGTCCACAAACTCATGCTGCCCGCCTCGGCCTCCTCGAGACACCCCTGGATCGTCTTGGGCCCCACGCCGCGGCGCGGCACATTGATGATGCGCGCCAGCACGTCGTTGTTGTGCGGCTGGTGGACGACGCGCAGATAGTCGACGAGCAGCTTGACCTCGGCGCGCTCAAAGAACTTGCGCCCGCCCATCATGCGGTACGGCACGCCTGCGCGCGCGAGCGCCTGCTCAATCGGCCGCGACAGCGCCGCCGACCGCACCAGAATGGCCACGTCGCCGTGGTTCAGCATGTGGCCCGTGAGCAGCGTCGCCCGCCGCGTTTCCTGCAGAATCCACTGCGCCTCGTGCATCGCGTCCTGCAGGCGGCGCAGAACCGGCAGCGTGCCCTTCTTATGGACCGGCAGCAGGCTCTTGTCGTAGCGCGCCGGGTCCTGCTGGATGACCTGCAGCGACGTGCTCAGAATGCACTGCGACGAGCGGTAGTTTTCCTCGAGCGCAATCTCGGCCGTGTGCGGGAAGTCGGACAGGAACCGCGCCAGGTTCGTCGTCTCGGCCGACCGCCACCCGTAAATGCTCTGGTCCGGGTCGCCCACGACCGTGATGCGGCGGCGCGCCTGTGCAAACAGTTTCATGAGCTCAAACTGGACGCCGTTGGTGTCCTGGTACTCGTCAATCAGCACGGCCTGGACGTTGGCCACGCACGCCGGGTGCGCCCGCAGCAGCTCCGTGCAGCGGATCAGCAGGTCGTCGTAGTCGAGCAGGTTGAGGCTCTGCAGGTGCTTTTGGTATTCGTCGTAGACCGTCTGCAGCGCGGCCACAAAGTCCTTGCCCTCGGCCGACCCCCCGGCGCCATGTGCCTGCTGGCTGCGGTTCTTCTGCATCTTCTGCAAATTCGTCCTTTTGTTCTTCGTCGCCTCGTCGTCGGCATCCCCTCCCACGCACCCTTTGCTCTTTTTCTTGCTGATCCACCCGCGCGCCATGGCCGCGTCCAGCGTCACGTCGAGCCGCTTGACGATGCGCTTGATGATGGCCTTGCTGTCGTGGTCGTCCACGATGCTGAAGCCCTTGGCCACGCCGATCCGCGTGCCGTACGCCGACAGGTACCGCAGCGCCACGCTGTGAAACGTGCCCAGCACAATGCGCTTCTCGCGCCCCCCGCCCAGCGCCTTGCCAATGCGCTCCTTCATCTCGCGCGCCGCCTTGACCGTAAACGTCGCCACAATCACGTTCGACGGCATGTGCCCGACCTGGTCAATGAGCCACGCGACGCGCGACGTCAGCGTGTGGGTCTTGCCGCTGCCGGGGCCCGCCAGGATGGCGACCGTGTTGGCCGTGGACGTGACGGCGCGGCGCTGGGCGGCGTTGAGCTTGGCGAGGAGGGCGGAGTGGCCAGACCCATCTCCCCGCTCCGCCGGAGCCGTCTCTGCTTTTACTTTTTGCCGTGGCGCGACGAGCATGTCGTCCGTTGCCTTGGCCTTGGTCTTGGCCCGCTTCCTGGGTGGTTCGGCATGCCGGGCAAAAATCGGAGCAGGCAGAGTAAACAGGGTCGCTGTCGTTTCTTTCGCCCCTGTTGTTTTCTTCGTCTTCGTCGTCTTCGTCGACGTAGTCAACGCGTCTGTGATTGTCGTCGCGGTAGGCGTTTGTTTTGGCTGTGTCTTCACTGGCGTAGCCTCTCGCGACGGCTCGATCTTGTACCAATCGTCACTGCTGTCGGCCTCCGAGTCGGAACAGAGATCGATAACCACTGCTGTGCGGTCCATGGCGGTGCGCGCACGCGTCGTGTTGGGGTATGTCACTGGTCTCTGCTCGTTCAAAGTGAGGCTATTGACTTGCATGGCTCCCAGTAGCGCGTCCAAGATGCACTATCCAGGCGGGCCATCCACAAGTGTCGCGTACTCACGTGACTAACATGCGCTACTCAGACCCACAGAAGCCACCGACAGAAAGGCATGATCTGCAAGCCACTGAACACAAGGCTGAGATGAAGCACATTCATGGTTTATGACGACAGTCCTATTGTGTTTATACAGTTGGCTGGCTATTTGAACTGTCCCCCTACGGCGACCACATTTATAACAATGACAGCAAGAGTACCTATTTATGTACTCAAGATTGTATCCCCTGTTTCTAGGAAATGTTGAACCACTTGAAAGGCACATTCGATAGACGATGCTGGTATTGTAAACGACAATTGTAAACGGCAATTGTAAACGTCTAGACGTCCAGAAGTGGAAGATACTTCCAAGGGTCGTGGTGGAGAACGCAAGACTAGAACCGCCAAAACGTCAAGGGAAAACAGCAGAAAGAAAAAAAAATAGAATACGCCCGGCTCGTAACGTAAATAATAACAGGAAACGAATCAATACTCCATATTTATCATCCCTATCCCCGTATGTTAAAGATGTAGTAGAAACAAAAGCAACCCTACCCCTTGGGAAAACTCCCCGGCAATATCCGTCCATAAATAACAAATAGGCGATGACAAACATGGGAAAGGCAGTATACAATCCGACGCAAGAACGTCGATGCAAATGACAGCCTTGTACGCTGCAGTGTATACAGTAAAAAAACAAATACATGCCACAAAGTGAGCTTTCATAAAAGACAAGGCGTATATGAACGAGATAAAAAAGGTATAATGATGAGACGCTTGAGAAACAGACACGGTCTGAAAACTGGACATGTGGCAGAAAGAAGAGAGGAATGAACGGCAACGCTACGCTGCAATGGCTTCCGGGACAGCGTCCACTCTGTGGAACGCATCCTCCCTCGCAGCAATGCCACCTTGGCTCTCGACTTCGACCTCACTCTCAACTCTCGTTCTCACTGTCGTTCTCGCTCTCGCCCTCGCCCTCGCCTTCGCTCATGCTTCCGTACCCCGTATCGTTGTCAATGCCGACCACGCTCCGCGTCACGGCCAGGCATCGGCGCACCATGCTGTGGCGCACGCCCGCGTCCAGGCCGCCCCGGTCGCTGATGGGGCCGCCGATCCAGACGCGCAGGGAGCCTGCCAGCTGCTCGAGCGAGATCGCACAGGCGTCGGCAGCGACGCGGCGGGCGTGCAGGGTCAGCATCAACCGGAAGGCCGCGGCACAAGCCAGCAAGGACACTTGGTGTTGGGCACCAGGCAGGACAGCGTCGACAGACGCCAGAATGTCCTGGGGCAGGGCGGCAAAGCGCTGGAGGTGCGCAAGGGCCATGGCGCACCGCAGGGCGATGAGCGCCTCGCGGTCGGCCATCAGCCGCGTCAGGGGCGCATCGACCAGCGGTTGCAGGCTCTCGTCCGCGTTGAGGCTCGGGCGCAGCGCCTGCAGCGCCACGGCGATGCTGGCGCCGCGCTTCTCCTCGACAAGCACCGCGCGGGCGACAAGGGCGCGAACTTGGGCGTGGGAGCCGATGGGGGCGATCTTGGCCGCCAAGTCGATTTCGGCAGCAATGGAGTCGGCCAGGTCGGATTGGTCCTCGTCGCTCTCGGCGGCCAAGGATGTCGTGAGAATGCGATGCACGAGAAGAGACGAGAACCAGGCGGCAACGGCGTCGAGTGGCGAGAGCACGGCCGGGTCCTCGACAACGGCGTTCATACCGTCCATATCGACGACGGCAGCCGGCACGTCAAATGTGGTGGGTCGGTTAAATGCTAGATTGTAGGCGCGCTCGATAACATCGTCGTTGAGGACGTCATCGCAGTCTTCGGCCAGGAGAGCCTCCAGGTGGCTGGGAAGTCTGTCGTCGGCTTGCAGCGAGAACGCACTGCTGACATGGTCGCTGCCGCTGCCGCTGCCGCCGCTGCTGTCGTTGCCGCTGTCGCCGCTGCTGCTGCTACCGCTGTTGCCGCCAGTGTTTTGCAGCTGCATGGCCAGCAGATTCCGCTCGCGCGCGGCATTCCACTTGCCGCGGGCCCAATAGGCGGCGACGGCGTCGAACAAGGCGTTCTTGCCGAGGTGGCGCACGAGAATGCGAATGTGCAGGGCGTTGAGCATGAGTCGCAGGGGCGTATCGGGCAGGGTATGCGAAGCCAGCAACGTCAGGGTCAAGCGCCTCTCGTTGATCTCGACATCGCCGCCGGCCAGCTGGGCGTCCAGAGCAATGGCCCAGGACTTGATGCGGGCGGTCTCCTGGTCCTGCGTCAGACCCGTCAGCATGCTGTAGCGCTCGATGCCAAGGGCATTGCGGGTGCTGAGCTTCATCATCTTGAGAATCAGCGCGGCAGCCTCCAAAACGAAATTGTGGCGCGGGACCCAGACGGTCTGGATGGCCGTCAGCCAGGCATTGCGGCGGACGTGGATCGGCGAGGCCAGCGACGGCGCCGCCTGTGGCACCTGGTGGGTCTTGTCTTGGGCAGTGGGCTTGGGTGCAGCGAAGAAGGAGGGCACAAAGGCCCACAGGAGCATGCCCAACAGCAGCAGAAGCTTGAGGTGGGACACGATCTGTGCGGTCGCGACGTAGTAGCCGCCGAAGCCAACGTGCGCGTCGGAGGCCACCAATGGGCGCAGGAGCTGCAGAGGCAGAGCGAACAGGCCACGGCCCTCGGTCGATTCGGGGTCGATCTCCTGCTCACGCGCAGCCTCGAAGAGCATCAGACCGGCAAGCGAGCCGACCATCATCTTACCGAGGTAAGGGGCGCCGGCCTGCCAGCGGCTCTGCTGCGCTTGCTGTTGCTGCTGAATCTGTTGCTGGCGGATGACGGCAGGTGTGCCTTGGAAGGGCTGTTGCGGGACGGGGTAGGGACGGCCAGCGGCGGCCTGGGCTTGGAGGATGCGCTTCATCTCTTCGGGGACGGGGATCATGCCGACCGGGTCAGGACCGCGCGGTGTGGTGATTGGCGGCGCACTCATAAAGGCGGCCATCGGGTTGGACTGGCTGGACGTGGGACCACTAAAGGGCATGGGCATGGGCGACGGCTGTGCCATGGGGCTCATGGAGTTGGCGTTGGACAGGGCGCCGTGCATGAACAGCTTCTCGAAGGCGGCAATACGCTGCTGCATCTGGCTGTTTTCGTCGAGGAGCCGGTTGTTCCGCTTCTCGAGATGGCGAATGTATTCGGTGGCTTTGCTGAGGACGGTGGCCTTGTTGAGCTTGTGGGCGGGTGTCAGGCCGTGCAGCTCCTCACGGTCTTCGGTGGTGTCCTCGCCGCGCGCGCTCTTGGACATGATGCGCAAGCTGGGCACACTGTCCCGGAGCGCAGCGATCTTGTCGTTGAGGTTTGTGCGATACCGCTTCTCGATCATGTTGTGAGCCGTCTTCTTGACGGGCTGGGAGCCGTCCTCGTCCTCGTCATCGTCGTCCTCGTCCTCGTCGGCCGATGGCTTGCGTTTGCGGCTACCATTGCGGGTGGGATCGGCGGCGTCGGGCGAAGAAACAGCACCGCCGCCAGCACTGGACTGGGGGCTGGCCTGGCTTTTCGGGCTGTGATACTGCAGGTGGGCGGGCATGGCGATGTTCTTGAGAGCGGCCTGCTGCTCTGGGGTCAATGAACTCAGAATTTCGGGTGCGGGTTGTGGCCGGACCTGGCCTGGTTCTTGTGACGCGACTTGGCCTGGCTGCTGAGATTGCTCTTGCAGGTGGAGTTGCTGCAGGTTTTGCTGGAAGAAGGATTGTTGCTGCAGCTGCCGCTGAAGCAGGTCGCCGCCGTCTTGGCTCTGATCGGATGGTTGCTGTCCCTGCTGGAGGGGCGCGTCCGCATGTGGACGCTGCGGAAGCGGCCAGGTGAACTGCGGTGCGGCGTTGGAGACGCCCCACTGCTGGGCGCCAAACTGGAACTGGGGGTTGTAGAAGCCGCTGGGGATGGCGGCCGGGTTGAAGCTGCCCTGCAGCTGCTGGAGGGCGGAAGGGTCGAAACCGCCGCCGCTGCCGGCGTTGAGGGTGTTCGGGAAGACTCCCCAGCTGTTGGGGTTTTGGAGGAAAAAATCACCACCGGAGGTGGGGGCAGAGGTCGTACCGGCAGCGTCGGACGGGATGGAAGAGTCGGGGGCAATGGTGGACGAGGCAGTGAGGAAAGGCGGTACGGAGCTGACGGGGCTATTGTTGAAACTCGATGTGTTGCTGGCGTCGCTATTCGTGCCGCCGTCGCTGGTGATGCTGTTCGTCTTGGCCTTCCTGTGGCGATGCACGGAGGACTTGGAGCTGGTATTGCTGCCCGGACTCCGACTGAGGCGGTTGCTGGCAGCTGCTGCGCTGGTGAAGACGGAGGGTTCGGGTTTGCTGTTGGGGTCGGTATTCATAAGATCCTGTTGGTGCGTGTCAACAAAGCCATGCGACATGGTGCTGCTGGTCGTCGCCGGCATGCTTCCCAGGCCGTCAGGCGAGAGATCATAAGACTCGAGACCCGCAAAGGCTTGGGCAGCCTCCTGTTGATCAGCCATGATGCAACCTTTCGACCTTGAAGCAGTTGACACGCTCGTCGGCGCTGTCTGGTGTAGCAGTCCTGCAGTCAGTCGGCCTCGTCGGGTGGTGGTATGGGCTTCGTCTCGAATCGTATGTCGGTGTCTCCTCTGTCGTTGTCTTTCTCTGTGGCACGGGCTTCGCCGTGCGCGCCCTAGACAACAAATCTTTCGAAGGATCAAAAATGGCCTGACCGGACGATGGTGCCAGGGTATATCTCCGGAAGTGGGCGAGACGGACGTAAAGTAAGAGGTGGGGAAGGGGCGGATGCAAGGAAAAGTGGTGCGGCTCTTCCCACACGGCTGGCTGAATATGGGAGCCGTGAGTAGGAATGGAGAGAAAAAAAAGACGGCCAGGTCGAAAAACGTCGTCGAGCGGAGAACGAGTGCACTGGGGAGAGCAGGAAACAGACAAGAATGGCTACAGACTGTCTACGACTCTACTGCCAATGGCTTGCTAGAGGCGCACCATGCCGCAGATTGCTGAACAGCCCAGCCAGCAATTGAGATGTCCGTCCGAGGACAAACGACGAAAGTGGCGCTCCCGCAGAGACGGCGTGTTGTCTCGGGTGTCGCCTTGGGTGGTCGTCCTGGGCTCTTTGGGATTGTCTTGGGCCGTCACGGAGGGTCTTTGGTTGCTTCGAGTTCGTTTGGGTCGCTTTGGGGTCTGGTTTCCAGTTCGTTCGTGCCTCGATCGTACCTCGATCGTTCCTCGATTTCGATCGTCCCGTAGGCTTCGTCGCAATCTGGCGGCCGCAGGCCAATCTCGTCGAGTAAGATAGCGAGGCGGGCCGGGCAAAGAGAATATCGAAAAAGGATGTGAGGGAGAAAGGGGCAGGGAGAGAAACAATGGACGGGAACGGACGGCGATGGAAGAACAAAAGTCGTACGACGGGGAAGGTGACGAGAGGTTTTGGGCAGGAAGGAAGGAACGGTTGCAGCGCATCGAGAGAAAATGTGCGGCCGTCGGGACTTGGTCGAGGGGAGGGACGGCGCCTAGTGATAGGCTGGATCAGGCCATCGTTTCGAAGAATCGGTCCATACGCCGTTCAGTAGCGTCGAGATATGAGGGCATGATGGCATTTGGGCATTTAGGTGATCGCTGCTCGCCCACGGTCCGCTCATGCACCGCGACAGGGCCCGCAAGCACTGTAACGACCTAGCGCACGGAGTACTAATGACGCCTAGAAGTCCACTAAAAGCCTAGTACAGAGAAAATTAGAGAGAATTGTGGCACAAAGCATCGGGAGGGGCAGGAGAAAAGACAGTGCATAGAGTATCCGCACGGTGCTCTCGCACGGCTGCGCAACATACAACCAGGGCACCGCTGAAGCAAGTCGGTACAGGCGCCGTATGTAGGAAAGAAAAGTATCTACAGAGAGCATCATGTGAAGCAGAAGCAAATACGGAGTAATGCAGAACAAGGAACCTACGATGGGAGACTGGAGACAGGCGGGAAGGGATGCGACACATGCGAGGAGTGGCATTCCCAGAGCGCAAGGGCGCAAGGACTTGGATCCACAACATAAACATGCCATGTGCGCATCCGCAGCATGCAGAAATACAGGGGTGCTGGGCGAGCGACGGCGTCGTGTTGCTGCATCCCTACCTCCAAATGTGTTCTCAAGAGTTCTCAATGAGTTCTCCTCATACACTTCAAATGTGCTCCTTCCCATTTCTCCGCACTGACGGTCGCTTTTGCACTTTCCCGAGAGACAGCCTTTGCACTTGCTGGTCAAGTCCTTTGCTTTCCAAGCGAGACAGGGAAGGAACGAATGGAAACAAGGAACAGACTCCTACCGCAGAAATTGCAAGTACAGAAACTGGATGTATTCACACCGTATGACGCTGCCCAGCAATCTTATGGACGAACCATGACACAATACAACATGTATCCAGATATGTGCGTCCGTTGGCAACAAGTGGCCGTGACTGGACAAGCGAAGAGAAAAGTTTGCAAAACGTACATGGTGGAAGCGCACGTGAAACGGCGCCTGGAACGGAAGCAACGAGGCAGGAACGCGCAGACGGGCAGATTGGGAAGGTGCCTGTCCGGTACGTAACCTCCTGCCTCATCGCCACCCCGCCAGTGAAAGAAAATTGGTAACAATGAAGCTCAAACAAAATAACACACAAGCTGGCTCGCTGGATATCGATATAGCACATGCATTGAGTTGTGCACTTCACATCAACGGTAATTGCCGTTAAGAATAGTTCGCTCATGGTCCAGAAACTTCGGCAAGGATCCACTGTTAAGCTGATCGGCACGGTTAAATCTATCCACATCGACTTTTTTGGCACTAAACCTTGCTTTTTGCCCATTGCAGGAGTACTTCAACTTGAAATACGAGGACCGCGCTGTCGAAACGGTTGGCCAAGGACAAAGAGCAAGAATATGGCCATTAAAAATGGAAAAAAAATACTAATAAAGAAGGCATGGACGTAAGGACAAGACAATAAAACATACGAGATTGGGGCAGACACGAAAAAGTAAAGAAGAAAAAAGAGAGCATGCGCAAGAAAAAGAGAGACAAAAAAAAGAGAAAAACTACGCCCGTTCGCGGTCTCCAAGACGCCGTCTCGGCTTGGACAACGGCGAGCAAGGTCAAGATAAGAAAGCGGAAGACTGAGAACAAAGGAGAGACAGACGAGATGGCGATGCGACATGACGACTGCAAAGACCTTGTCGAAAACGGGGACGAGAGAGAACGCCACATTGGCCTGTTTTGGTGGCGACTTCGGAGGCTTTGACATTGTGCAGTGACTATAGTCGTCATTTAGAGTAGTGACCAACAAATGCCTAAACCAACATTTGAAGAGAGGCTGTCTGTTGTTGCTGGTGGCCATTGTCGCGCCAAGAGGCGGCGAAGACGACAAGGCCGAGCCTAGAAACAAAAAAAAAAATCGAAATGAAAAAAAAAGAAGAAGAAGAAAAGGAAGAACACAGTCCCACGCTGCTATTAAGATGGCAGCTCAGAGTAACGATTGTCGTCCCTGAAAAAATACAGTGCAATACATTGTTGTGGTGGCCTTTGGCGTGCAAACCACGAGTGGTACAATGTATACGACTGGATAATTGTATGGCGTAGACAAATTATCATACCCTACGGAGTACTCCGTATGTCCAATCTGTGCCGCGTCATGGAAATCGTTGCCGCGTTTCAAACGCATCCGAAACAGACGGGGTCGCGACTAAGAAAGGAAGACTGCGATTCTGGTGGTCCATGCGCCAGGCGGAACAATTCCATTCGCGGCGTTCGTGACATACGATCATATGAAACAAAAAAATAGCATGTTCAATATCAGCCGAATTTGCCAAAACAGTCCTATGTCCAGGGCCAGCTCCATCGCACTCAAATATTCAAATAGTAAATTCAATTCAAATTCAAAGCAGGTTGTATCGCCTCTCGCATAGCGAAAGATCAATGATGGAATAACGGAGAGCCATCAAACGGTAACAAAAGAAAGAGTGGTCGGTATTCTAATCATCAAATGAACATATGAACAAGGGTCTCAAAAACTAGGTAGGTAACAAAGAAAGTAAAAGAGATAAAATCACAAACAAAAAAAAACTAAAGACAGGCCGAATGGCTGTGGTCAAAGACCAGAAATGGCCAGAAGAGATCCAAGGCCGGAAATAAAAACAAGACACCATCGGCATAAGCTCAAAACACAACGCATCATCGCCTCGACAGTGGCCTACCATATGTCCTCGGTGCTCTGCACCATCTCCATTGTCGGCGTCTTGGGCTCCAGCCGCCGCATCCGCTTCCGGTCCGCCTTGGTCACCAGACTCGGCGTCATCGGAATCACGGGCGAGAACGGCTGGTAGGGCGTGTAGGGCACCGGGGCGCCCGTCCACGGCGTCTGCGAGCCCGTACCAAACCCGGGCGACATGGGCTGGGCGCGCTCAAAGACGGTCTGCTTGGTCTGGTTGTGCGTGGCAAACGAGGGCGACGTGATGGCGGGTTCGTAGGCACGGAGGGGGAGGCCGCCGCCGGTGCGCACGGCGGAGGGGGCGTTGCTGCGGCCGAGGCCGGAGACTGCGGAGGACGACGAGGGAGAGGCCGAGGCGAAGACGACGCCCGTCGGCGACATGGGCTGGTTCAGGCCAGAAAAAGTCGTCTTGGTGGCCCGCGGCGAGGCCGGCAGAGACGCCAGCGACGGGAACCGGTTGACGCCCGGCTTGGGCGACGTGGGCAGGCCAACCAGGGGTGCTGACGAGTCCGCCGAGGAGTTGGAGACGCTGGAGACACCGGAGACGGCCGAGACGCCGCCCGACGGTGACACGGCCGACTGCGGCTCGCGTGCGTGGGGGGCCGACGTGGTGGCCGTGTCCAGAGACAGGTTCCGGGGCGGCATCGGTCTGTTCGGGGACGCGGAGCCAGGGCCCGCGCCAATCGAGGCACCGATCCGCTCGTCAATGCTCAGCGTGCTCAGCGGCGACGTCTCGGGCGTCGGCTGCTGCGTCGGCTGCTGCGTCGGGACAGGCGGCGGGGCGGCCGGGGCATAGTGCCGCGGCGAGATGGGGTTCATCTCTTCCGCCTCTACGTAGCCGCCGCCGTTGCCGTACCCGTAGCCGCTCGGGGCCGCGCCGTTGGGGGCCGCAAACCGTGGGAAGGTCCCCGACATGGGCGTCATGATGGGCGATGAGATGCTCACCCCTTGCATCTTCTTCTTGCCGCGCGGCGACTTGAGCGCCGACAGGATTGACGACGCGCGCGACGTCCGTTCTGAGCGTTCGGGCCGCTCGCCGTCGCCCGTCAGCACGAGGTTGGCCGGCTTCGACTTGACCTTTCGGAGCAGTGTCGAGGTCGAGCTGGTCGACTCGTCCTTGCGGTGGATGGGGTAGTTGTAACTCTGGGGCGGCAGCGACGTCGCGGGGCTCGGGTTGTTGAAGCCCACATTGGCGCCCGGGTTGGCCACAATCGGCGAGCTGCGCGTGCTGTTGCTCCCCGACTGCGGGCCCAGCGACGCCGGTGGGTCGGGCAGGACCACGCCGTTCGCCTTGGCCTCCTCCTGCTCCATCACGTACTTGTACATCTGCTCCAGCTGTGATTGCGCCATCTCGCGGTCGGCCGTCACAATGTCCTGGTCTACCGACGGATCGACGCCGGGCACGCGAAACGACGACGCGTACGACGCCGACAGGTACAGATTGCTCTTGGCGTGCAAAGACGACACAACGGTGCCGCCGTGGGTCTCGGTCGGGCTGACGGAGTGGTCAAAGTGGGACGCAGCGTAGCTGCTGGGATCAAAGGCGGCCCCGTTGCTGTCGTTGCCGTTGAAAAATCCCGGCGTCTTCACGGCAAACGGCACGACGCTGTCTTGCAGCTGCAGGGTCTCGGGATGGACGAAAGCAAACGCCTGCGACGGCGGGAGGTCGTCAAACTCTTCGCCGGACCGCAGGTGTTCGCGGCGGCGCTTGGACAGCAGCAAGAGGGCGACGGCGACGACCACGAGGCAAAAGGCGTACGAGCCAACGATGCCGCCGATCTGCGCGGGAAGGTAGGCGGTGTCGGACAACGGGGCGGGCAGGCCGTCGCGGGTGCGGTGTGATGAAGCAAAAGCGGCGACGTCTACGTCGCGCTGGATGACAGAGGCCGAGACGACGGCGAACGAATAAGTCAAGGGCGAAGCGAAGAAGAAAAGAGTGGATGCCTGGTGATGTCGACTCGTTCGCATGTTGGAGGGAAAGAGAGGAAAGAGGAAAGGAGAGAAGGAGAGAGGGAGGGCGGGTGGAATGTTATAAGGATGGTAGGATAGTAACAAAATGGAGGGACGAAACGTCTCCGTCTCGATGTTGTTGTTTATGTTTTGTCTTTTCTGGGTCTGTTTCTGCTTGTGTCCACGGTGAAGATCGCCGAATCCCCAAGGAGACTCAAATGATGAGACGCATGATGCAGCACAAGGGACACTTTGCGAGGGGGCTGAACAAGGGGAGGGACAAGAACAAGGAGAGAAAGAAAAGGAAAATGGGATGTGGCGTGGTGGGAAACAGCCAAAGGTCCAAAAGGGATCAAAAAGGAGAAATGCATATCACAGAAATCCCGATGGGCACCGCGGGACGCACGTCGTATATACCGTCCTCAGCGGCTGGTGATACTCGAAGCCGTTTGGGGCAAGGCCCACCGATGGACCGACACATCTCAATGCTGCGCAAGGTCGAGGAACCAGCCGTGTCCCTCGCCTTTGTTTGCTGGCCACTCGCTTCCAAGAGCAGCGACAATCACACTTGTTGACCCGCTCTTCTTCCTGCTGTCCCCTCTCGCTCCGTCACTCGTTGTGATGAACAGGGCGGCTGGAGGTGGTGCTGAGCGTGGGCTGGCACTGGCCTGGACGTCGTCGCTCACCCCAGCAGAGCGCCCCATTGGCTGTAGACCCTGGACGGTGCCGGGCCGCCCACGAGCCAATCCGCCCGGGGTGCTAAGCGCCGGCCTTCGGGGCGCTCTTTCCTCTTTTGATGGCAATTGGTGTGCGTGTGAAATGATTGGCTATATCGTCGTGGTGGACCCCACTTAGGTCCCTTGGGCTCCACTTTATGTCTGTGTCGACCTGGGCTCCTCTCCCCGCCATTTCACATTGTGTGCCGTGTGCCCTGTTCCCTCTGGGATGCATTGGCTGCAGGCTCATATTTCTCTTTTTTGCGTCCAATTTTGCTTCCTTGGTTTTCTGGTTCCTGTCGATTTTACACTGTTTCGCCTCGGATGGTAATTAGAATGCGGATTCTCAAGATCTGATCTTGTTGGGGGTGTCTTGTGTTCCTCACATACAGAGGATGTGTGGCTTTGAAGTGATTATCGTACGTCGTTGGCTGAGAGGTTGGGGGAAGTTCGACACACGACTGCCCGCTTCCTAAAAATAACTATTCAAAGGGCCGCCAGGCGCAAGTCCAGACTGCTCCCTGTAAATTTACGTGGTATGGGACAAGCTTTCTTTGAGCAGGGGACTGGGCGCCTCGTGCTGTCTTTCTCTCTCTCTCTCTCCTTTCATTCATGCACTTTGTCCCAAATTCGTCTCCCCACCATCACGTTTGTGACTGCCGTGATCATAACCCCTTGCAGATGCAGATTGTGCAAGCGAGAAAATCTCGAAAGTGTACTGATACCATCATCATGTCGACTGCCGTCGATTAATTGCATCGGTCGTGGCAACGGTAGGTCTGTATGCAAAAGGTCTTCTACAGGAGATCGCCATACGAAGCGCCGTTGACTATGATCGGCATCGCATTGCACCTGTGAAAGATTCGATCACAGTCACAGTCACCTACTCTCCAGACTCCTGGTTGGGCCATGGAAAGTGCATGCCCCTTCAACATACGTCAGGTAATTGTATTTGTTTCCCTTCGTTTCCTGTCGCAGTGGGGGCCAAAAATGGCGAACCAAACAACGACGTGCTTTAATGACATAGAACAAGCAATGGACCAAAAAAAAATGTCAGAAAGAAAGATCGACGTGGCCGTTATCTCCATTGAGCCATTTGCACTTGATATTCATGCCGGCAGGCACGCATTTGTACCGGCGTAATTTAACATACTTCTTCTTCACCTCAGTGAACAGGCAAGGACAGGCGAGGAAGCAGGCAGATTCAAGGCCAAGGTCACGCACCACACTCACAGCACCCGGTGCACAGACCTATGATGTGACGGAATTTACACCATACTACGTACAATTCGATTGAATAGAAAATACCACCCTAACCAACCGACCCTTGCTAATGTCCCATTTCAATATTCAATGCTTTGCTTACTACGGAGAACCGACCTATCATCATTGATGTCTCTCCTCCGCCAACTAAGTCAAAACAGTGGCACATCTGTACAGAATTATCACTTTTGACATGGTGACAACAGGCAACTTCTCCAGAACGAGGAAAAGGTGAAGAAACAGACCTTGCCAACTGATGGGGCTAACCATGGTGTTTTATCTTAGACAGAAGCAGAGACAATGCCGTGTTTACAACTTTTTACATGGCTGTATATTTCGTTGGTGCACGTGGGCTCTAGAAGTTGAACATTGACAACAGCTCAGAAAGCAAATACCGAAGAAAAGTCCATATCTTGCCTTATTTTCTCTTTAAAGGGACAATTAATATTTTGTAATTGTTTTCAGTCATATAATTTTTTTCATCAAGGGTTTCTTTCTTTTGAATACAAGAGTACTAAAGTACGTAATATAACTTCTGTCGAGCACGAAGCAAAAGACCACAGCACTGTCACAAATGTAGCCTACTAAGAACTCTACAGCGTATTACTGTTTCCCGAAAAAATAATTATCCAAAAACCGTTGTCTGTATATCATAATCATAAAAGAAAAAAAGCCACGGTGCCACCGAAAAAGAAATACCCAAAAAATCAGTGTGAACGAAAACAATAGCTAACTCAGAAAGCAGAGACACAACATGCCGTCTATGCTTTAGCGTCGCGGTTTGCCGCCTGCACGACAAGAACGCTCGCCTTGGGCTTGGCATTGATCACGTGCGCACCAGCTACACCAACCGTCTTGGAAAGCTCGTAGCCCGAGGACGAGGACGATGACTCGCCAACCGAGCGGTTCGCGCGGCTGTCATGGAAGCGGCTGTGCCGGCGACCGACGACGATCAGGTCGCCTGCGTTCCTGGGCGCCTGGCCCACGATCTTGGACGCGCGCTCAACGACATTGTCCAGCACAGTGCTGCTCTTGCCGTGTGCGTGAATGTCGACAAACGAGACACGCTCAGCCAGGTCGGTGGGCAGCGATGACTGCAGGGTGGCCAACAGGCCCAGATCTTGTGCCGATGGCTCGTCCTCGAGGGCGGCTTCCTTGCTCCTGATCGCGGCCTGGGTGGGGTCTTCGGCGTAGTAGCCGCCGTGAGCTTGCTCAGGGACGCTGATATCGGCATTGGCGGCGTCGCTGCTATTCCATGTGACATGGGCAATGGTGGCCGTGATGTTCTTGTTCTTGGCCAGCTGGAGGACAAAGCGCAGAGCGACACGGTCGTCGGCGCCCCCAAAGAAGGGAAGGAAGACACAGTGGCTCTTGTTGGCGACCGGGAGGACGGCAGCGTTCCGCTGGCTGTGCAGGGACATAACCGAGATTGTACGGGAGAGCAGGGGCCGGTCGCCAGTGCGCGCGGATGAGGAAGCGGCACCACCGAACCCGTTGTCAATGAAAACACCCGTGTTGCAGACGGCCTTTTCCAGCGTGGCATGAACAAAGTCTAGGTGGGAGCGGTCGTTGAAGCGGTCGGCACTGGACGTCGCGGTGACTACAGTAGACGGGTCGTCGATGACCTTGTCACCCCACGGAATCAGAACGAAGTCGGACAATGTCTCGGTAGCCTCGGTGGCCAGTGTCTCGGGGAACGAAGCAGCCGGAACGACAGCCACCTGTCCAGAGACGGCCACATCGTGGAGTTGTGAGAACGTGCGGAAGGTATTGACGACGGGATCGCGCCGGGCAAGCTCGTCCACCTCAGACACCTTCATGACAGACGATGTACGGTCGGTGAGCTCGAGAATGCGAATGCCGTGCACCTGGAGATGACGACGCGGGGGAGACTCGGCCTGTGGCTGCGGCTGCGGCTGCGGCTCTTCGTCCTTTCTGGCAACAATGGCGTCGTTGGAAGGTATATTGGAGTCTCCCAGGAGGGAAATGAAGGTGAAAAGGCTGGGAAGGCTGTCGAGGCGGAGGTAGACAAGAAGACGGCGGACCTGAGTCTCGTTGAGCTTGTCGACGGACGCGTGCTGGCTGGAGCTCTCTGATCCAATCGGGTTGCCGTCCCAGTCAATCTCGCCACGGCGGAACTTCTCGACCTTCTGCTGGTACCACAGCGGGTACAGGAGCTTCGTCAAGGGTGTTGTCGCAACAGTTGTGATGACGGCCATGACAACGAAGATGGTGAACGTCCGCTGGGACAAAATGTGCGCCTGAAAACCAATGTTCTATATGGGCTTGTTAGCTCTTATCTCTTAAGAGTAGCACCTGATGGAGGGCGTTGGGGAGACGGGTGTGACGTACCAGGACAATCAGCTCAACGAGACCCTTGCAACTCATGAGGACACCGATACTGAGACTCTCGCGCCAGAACATATTGGTGAGGCGGGCCGAGAGAGTACCACCGATGATCTTGCCGAAGAAGGCGACGGCAACGACGCCGACGACATAGGCCCAGGTGATACCGTCGTTTAGAAGGCCGAGGTTGGTGCTGAGACCGGAGAGGGCAAAGTAGAGCGGGAGGAAAAATGCCGAGATGAAGTCCTCGAGCTTCTCGGTCAGTTTGATGGCAAAGCCGCCATCGTGGGGGCATATAATGCCGACGAGGAAGCCACCAAAGATGGGATGGACACCAATAATGCCGGTAAACCAGGCAGAGGCGAGCACAAGCAGGATGGTAACACAGACCATGGACTCGGACGGGCCGTTCTGCAAGCTGCCGTTGCGGCGGAGCAGCCAGACGAAAGCGGGGCGAATGGCAAAGACGAGACACAAGATCCAGCCGAACACAACGAGCAGAGCCCACAGGGCTGTCAGACCGCTGCTGTTGTTGACTAGGGCGACACACAGTGCTAGCAGGATCCAGCCAACGACGTCATTCCCGACACCGGCCGCCAGGGTTGTGACACCGACAATGTTGCCCAGCAGGTTCAGCTCGGTGAGAATGCGGCAGAGAACCGGAAAGGCGGTAATGGCGAGCGCGGTGCCGACAAAGAGGCCGAAGACACCAAAGCTGATGGGCAAGGTACCGGGCTCGTTGGCGAACTGGTGGTACATGCCGTAGGCAATAGCGTAGCCCAGGCCGAAAGGCAGGGCCATGCTAGCGATGGAGACACTGACGGCAACCCGCCAATTGCGCTTGAACAGACGAACGTCGACCTATGTTATGGGTGTGTGAGTCTAGTGTCTGTGGTTTTGTACGCGAGAAAAGAATCATGGAGAAATATGAGGTACCTCAAGACCGGTTAAAAAGAGGAACAGAATGAGACCAAGGTTTGCGACATTATTGAGGACGGGCATGCTGTTGGTGGGGAAAATGTTGCTCTGGAAGCCGGGGATGCGGCTCAGGACGGAGGGACCGAGCAGGATGCCTCCGATGACCTCTGCGATGACGCGCGGCTGGCCGATGAGGCGCAGAGGGTAGGCCAGCAGGCGGCAGAAAACGACGATAATGGTCGCCTGGACGATAAACAAGATGATGGGGTTGGCAGGATTGTAGACGATGGGATTTGCGCCGTCGAGGACGCCGGCCTGTGGTGACGCACGGAGAGTGGCTGTAGGCGATGAGGTCGAAGTAGCCGAAGACACGGTCGAGACCACGGTCGACAAAAGTGTCGTCGTGACGGTCTCCGTAGTGGCCGCCATGGCTGCCAGACGAGAGTCCTTTCGGGAAAGCA